CTTCCTCCTCCTCCTCCTCTTTTGTTTGGGCAGGCCGCCGGAGCGAAGCGAGCGCTCGAGGCGTCAGCCTCCTCCCCCCCCTCCTCTCCTCGCCTTCTCTGAAGGTGCCGCCTCGGCCAGGAAGGGGAGGACCCTCACCGCTCTGACACCTCTTGGGCCTCCTGGGGGGGTCGTCCAGCGATGTGTTTCCCATAGTTCCGAATTGTGGGAAGGGCCAAAACACTAAATAAGCCATGGTTTTCTCGCATTCGTGCGATTCCCATCATTCGCCGAGGCTTCCTGGAGGTGGGTCGTCGGGGGAGCCCTCGGACGCAGCTAGGACGAGTAGAAGTTCGTTCCAGGGCGTTCCGGATCGCTTTCAGAGCGGTCCGGAACGCTCGGAGAAGGCCGCGGCGCCCGAGGCATCCTCCAGAGCCGCTGGATCTTCTCGATTTACCCTCATCCGATCTTATCCTTCGACTGGGGGGTCGACTACAAAATAGATTTACCCCAGAATTGATCTTCACGTCGACTCCTCGACAACAATGCGTCAACCATTCGTAGATCTGCGAGAGTTCTACGCATTGGCTGTGGATCCGACAAGAGAAGTCAAGCCTGGGGCAAATCAATTCTGCAGTCGATCCCCTACTCGAATCTAAAACAGGGCTAGGATCGGGATAAATCGTTCCAGAACGTTCCAGAGCGCTCTCAGAGCGTTCCGGAACGCTCTGGAGCGGCCGCGGCGCCCAATACATCCTCCAAACCCGCCGATTCGCAGAGATTTCGAGTTATCCCGATCCGATTTTCTCCCGATCTTCGTGTCGTTTTAGAATCCTCGTCCTGGCTTCGTCTTTGGGGGCGTCGTCGGGGGAGCCCCGTGCCACGGGCCGGGCGCCTCTCCGAGAAGCTGGCCCGGGGGGGGGGCCCGCAGGGGGGCCCCGCTGGGGAGGGGCCCTGGCCGCCCTCGGCGCCGCCCTCGCGGCGAGGGGCTCCCGCGGGGCGTCTGTGTTGAAGGGGCCCCAGGACACACAAATAAGTACACACAACTAAGAATATCACCCATCTTTTCCTATATTTTCTGGGTTTTTGTCCTCCCCCCCCCACTTCCCATATGTTCCCATCTTTTCTGGGGAATCGACGATTCATTGTGTCTGTGTGTTTCTTTTCCTCCTGGTATGTGGCGCCCCTCGCCTGCCGGCAGAGAGCTCCGGCTGCGCGCCTGGCGGCAAAGGTGGCGGGCCTTGCTCGCCATGGGGGTGACGGGTCCTGAGCCGAAGACGAAAAAGCGGCACCAACATGAGATGTTGGCGCCCCGCGCGGACTGCTTGGATCCATCTGCGCTGGGCCCCCCCCTGGCGGCGCCTCCGGCGCCGCCCCTGGCGCGCCCTGCGCGCCAGGGGCCGGGGTCCAACGCAGATCCAAGAAATCCGCGCGGAGCGCCGCAGGTTTATGTTTATGTAATGTTTTCACTTGTCTATGCACGCCATTGTGGAAGCTGGTCCTGTGGGAACCGGGTGGGTCCTGTTTGTTTCCGCCGTTCGTAGTTGTAGTTGTTGTCGTTATTGAAATTTGTTGTTGTAGTTGTTGGTGTGATTGTAGTTGAAGTTGTAGTTGTCATCGTCATCGTCGTCGTCGTTGTTGTAGTTGTTGGTGTCGTTGTTGTTGTTGATGGTGTTCTCATCCATATTGTTGAACGCTCACCACTAAATAATAACTATTGTTGATCCCACCCTCCGGTAACATATGTGTTTCTCAATTGAAGTGCCACTCCAGGGGCTCGCAGCAGTTCTTATATCAAGAAACAGATTCCTCCTCAATCTGCGCCCCTTGCCCCTGGACTACAACAAGAACGGCTCCCGCCTGATACCTCCTTGCAATTTACTAAAGAATCGCGCTCTCGCTAAGGACTTCCTTGCAACTTATCGAAGAATCGCGCTCTCGCCTGTGACCTCCTCGTAATTGATTCAGGCGCCACGCCCTTGCCATTCTGGAATCGCGATATCGCCTGGGACTTCCTCATCGTGTACTTAGGAATGGCGCTCTCGCCCGAAATTTCCTGGCGAATGATGAAGACTCACGCGTTCGCGTGACATACGCGTTTTTTTCTCAATTGAAGTTCCCCTGTCGGGGCTCGCTGTGTTTTTACAGGGGCAAGTCTTCCTGCTCAAATTGTGCCCCTGGCCCCCGGTTTGCAACAACAGCGGCTCCCGACTGACATTTCCTTACAATCTATTCCCAAATCGCGCTCTCGCGAAGGACTTCCTCAGAACTTAAGGCAGGAGTCACGCCTTCGCGTGGGACATCCTTGAAGTTTATTCAGACGCCTCGCCCTCGACACTCAGGAACCATACTCTCGCTGTGGATTTCTGCAAGATGTATTGGGGGAACCGCGCTGTCGCTCGAGACCTCCTCGCGATTCATGCAGGACTCACGCTTTAGCAACCCGCCTGCCCGACCTGGCCGTCTAGGCCCGCCTTCCCGACCCGCCCGTGCGGGTCTACCCGCACGGTCTGCCCGTCTAGTTCCGTCTAGTCCCGTCACGTGTTTTCTGCTCCTAGCCCCCCTCCTGTTATTTTCTCTCGTGTTCCGTCCTCCTCCCTCCCCCTTTGTCCCTTCCTTCCGTCCGTCCTCTCGTTCCCTGCCTTAGGGGCTGCACGAAATACAAGCGTTGCAGGCAAGATAGAGACCCCCCCCCCCCGAAGGGGGTACGTTCGAAGACGAAACGGGCGAATATCGAGAGTTTGGGATATACGTGTTGAGTGGCACGCGGGCAGGGAAGAGCGAACAGCCTTAAACTGATTGGTGTTCTTGTTGGTGGTGGTGGTGTTATTGCGGTGGTTGTTGTTGTTGCTGTTGCTATTGCTCTTGTTGTTGCTGTAATTGTTGTTGTTGCTGCTGTTGTCGGTGTTGCTGCTGCTGCTGTTGTAGTTGTTGTTGTTGTTGTTGTTGGTGGTGGTGGTGGTGGTGGTGTTGGTGTGGTGGTGTTGCTGCTGTTGTTGTTGCTGTCGCGGTTGCTGTTGCTGCTGTTGCTGTTGAACCCTCAATACCGAAGAGAAATTATTGTTGGCCCCCCCCCTCCGGTGCACATTGTATTTTTCAATTGAAGTGCCCCTCCCGGCGCTCGCACCTTGTTTTCTTATCAGAAAAAGCCTTCCTCCTCAAACTGTGCCCGTGGCCCCTGGTTTACAACAACAACGGCTCCCTCTTGATACTTCCTCGAAAGTTACTCCAGTCCTCCGCTCCCGCTTTAGACTTCCTTGCAATTTACTCGATAATCGCGCTCCCGCCTGAGACTTCCTTGCAATGTCCTCAGGCGCCGCGCTCTTGCCATTCAGGAATCGCGCGTTCGCTGGGGACTTCCTTCAATTCACTCAGGAATCGCTCTCTCGCTGGGCTAATCACGCAGAGCTCACGAAGAAATAGATACTCACCAAACGAGGTATGCTCAAAATCGAAGTGGGCGGGTATCGAGGGTTCAGGAAATGCACGCTGTATGACACTCGAGCAGGTAAGAGCGAACAATATTAAACTGATTGTTGTTGTTAGTGTTCTTGTTATTGTTATCGTCGCTGTCGTTGTTGTTGTTCTTGTCGTTGTCGTTGTCGTTGTCGTTGTCGTTGTTATTATTATTGTTGTTGTTGTTGTTGTTGTTATTGTTATTGTTGTTGTTGTGGTTGTGGTTGTGGTTATGGTTGTGGTTGTTGTTGTTGTTGCTGTTGTTGTTGTTGTTGTTGTTGTTGTTATTGTAGTTGTTGTTGTTGTTGTTGGTGTTGTTGTTGTTGTTGTTGTTGTTGTTGTTGTTGTTGTTTGGTGTCGTCCCGCCCGCGACCCAGCCCGCGACCCACCCGCGACCAGCCCGCGACCCACCCGCGACCCACCCGCGACACACACCGCGATCCAAACCGCGACCAACCCGCGACCAACGCCGCGACCCACTCACGACCCACCCCGCGCCCGCCCCCTTCACTCTTATCCGAAACTCCAGGGTGCTACATGTGTCGCCCGTATTTCCCATGGCGCGACCCCCGGTGCCGCGCGCAGGGGGCGAGGGAGGAACAGGAGGATGAAGAGGAGGAGGAGGGGGAGGAGGAGGAGGAGGAGGAGGAGGAGGGAGGAGGAGGAGGAGGAGGAGAGGAGGAGGAGGCAGGAGGAGGGGAAGGAGGAGGAGGGGAGGAGGAGGAGGAGGAGGGCGGAGGAGGAGGAGGTGGAGGAGGAGGAGGAGGGGGAGGTGGAGGAGGAGGAGGAGGAGGAGGAGCAGGAGTGAGGAGGAGGAGAGGAGGAGGAGGAGGAGGGGGGGGAGGAGGGGGAGGAGGGGAAAAGGAGGAGGAGGAGGAGGAGGAAAAGGAGGGAGGAGGAGGGAGGAGGAAGATGCTGGAGGGGCCGGGGCGGGCCCGCGCGCCGGGGGGGCGAAGGCGCGGCGCCTCGCCAGGGGCTCCGCCTCCCCGAGGTCCCTGCGCAGGTGCCGCAGCAGGCCGCTGAGGTGGCTGGCGGCCTGGGAGCGCCCAGGGCGAGACCCGTCCGGGGCTCCACGGGGCGGGAGGCTCGCCCTGCGGGGGGGGGGGGAGCGGAGCGCGGGCTGCCCTGCGGGAGGGGGGGGCTCGCCCTGCGGGGGGGGGGGGGCTCGCTCTGCGGGAGGCTCGCCCTGCGGGAGCGCATCCTGAGGGGAACGGGCCCGCCATTTGCTCGCCGCACTCTTGGCTCCCCCCGGGGCCCTCCGCGGGCCCATCGGACCGTCCGGAGACGACTCGGGGTGAAGAGATTGTCCTGGACGAAGACCCCTTGGACGTGGGGGCGTGGATCCCGTGTCGCGCCGAAGCGTGGTGGGGCACGGCACAGTCGGCGGAACGACGCACTATCCGACAGATCACGACCGTATACGGTGCAGGGCGACGATTGCGAGCGTGGTGCCATGGTCGTGCTCCTGCCACCCCTCGAGGAAGCGGGATGGCGGGACTCGTCGTCGTCGTCGTCCGCCTACGTCTTTCTTCCCCCTCACTTCTCAACAATTGCGCAATATGAATTATTCGGCCGCCCTGCTCGACCGACCGACCGCCCGAACAGGAGGAGGAGGAGGAGGAGGAGGAGAAGATGGAAGAGAAGAGACGTGAGAAGGAGAAGGGGCGGAGAAGAGGAGGAGGGCGGAATGGGAGGGCCAGAAGAGCAGGATTATGGTGAGAAGGAACGAGGAGCACGTCGGATGAGGAGGAAAGACGAAAGAGGAAGGAGGGACGGGGGAGGAGAAACAGGCGGAATGATGGAAATTGATGTGGGATGATGAGGAGGACGAGGATGAGGAGATGGAAGAGCGAGGAAAAGGAGGAGGAAGGAAGAGTGGACTGGGAGTGGAGCGGATGCCGTAACAACGTCACATGCGATTGCAACCCACATGCCCCGAACCCGCGGAACAGCAAGACAACATGGATGAGAACGAGCACGCACCGCAAGACGCATTCCACGACATACCACGGCTGAGAAACACAAGGCCCTAGAACAGAGCGAATGTGAGACAACACGCCCCAACTAAGACATATGGCAAGCAACACAAACCACGCCTGGGAACCACCATCAAGCAACAATGTGAGACGTAACGGCCCACTTCTGGCAAACATCATCTACAACAGACTCAGGACAAACCGTCCACCGCACCAGACGAGTCTCATGTTTTCATTTTTCTGCGCTTTTCTGCACGCGAGGTGAACTTACAGAGCGTGGGACAATATTGACATGCCTACACCCGTGAGCAACAAGTTGAACTATATACGAATACTAGACATCTCGAGCAGCAGGATGACAACCAGAAAGACCACTTACCACGAGTGGCTCCGACCCGAACGCGCGAGTGCAACCACGCGGAGGAGCATGGCAAAACTGATGTGGAACTGAACGAGGCGTGGAAGTGCAGGCGTACACTTCAGACGCAATTGGCGCTCCTCGAGCGCAAGCAATACAGGCGTAATCAACGAATTCGTCCAGTCTCGCCATCCGAAGGCTGCTGCAAATACAAGGCCGCGGCAGCGCTCGGAGCCCCCACCCCAGCGCCACGTGAAGGCCCTGGACGCGACCTGGGGCCCTTCTCAAAGCCACATGCCACGGATGGGCCTCGGGCCGCAGGTGCTTCAGAGGGAGGACGGGTGGACGGAGGCAGGAAGGGAGGAGACGAGGGAGGGGAGGAGGGAGGGGGCGGGAGGGCGAGAGGAGGAGTGGGGGAGGCGGCAGACAAGGGGGAAGGATGGGGAGGTGGGAGGGGGAGGAGGGAGGATTGGGAGGAGGGGGAGGTTGAAGGGATGCGGAGGAGGAGGAGGAGGAGGAGGAGGAGGAGGAGGAGGAGGAGGAGGAGGAGGAGGAGGAGGAAGGCAGGAGGAGGAGGAGGAGGAGGAGGAGGAGGAGGAGGAGGAGGAGAATAGGGCAGCAGCGATGCACCTGGGATGGGGGAGGCCGCCGGAGGGGCCGGCTGCTGGCCATCCGAGGCGGCCGCCGCCAGTGCGTCGGGGTGCTGGTCGCCGCGCTCCTTGGAGGGACTACCCCCGACGGCGGGGAAGGACGAATCCAGGACGAGGCGTTCGTCGTCGTCTGCCTGCTTCTCCATTCCTCGTCCCCTTCCGCCGGACAGCACAGCCTGCCCGGAACCAGCGTGGCGGCATATAGGGGCCTGACAAGCTGGTCCTGGTGGCTTCCGAATGGCCACTCATGTTCCAGTGTACATGTAATGATTCATGGTGCTGCGGCTGCCAGGACGAGGCTGAAATCGGGTGAGGGTACCGTCGGGGCGATGACCTAAGGAACCCTAAAGAAGGAACGGGGCCCCTTTTTCCCATAAGCTCAGCTTCGATGTCCTATCGAGAACCTCGGAACACCTGAGGCAAGCTGTGAAACACTCAAGGAACGCGGAGCCCCTCCCCAACGAAAAGGGTTCCTTCTTCAGGGCCCCGACTGTACGTCGAGAGTCTCTGCGGTCCGGCCGCTCTGGAGCACGTCTCGAGCGCCGCGGCCTTCTCCGAACGTCCCGGAGAGCCCTGGGAGCGTGCCGGAGCGCCCCGGAGCGGATGTCTCCTCGTCCCGGCCCCGTCCGACAGGGGCTCTGCAGACGGGGAAGCGAGCGGCAACTCCCCTTCGGCGGCTGCTGCTGCTGCTGCTGCTGCTGCTGCTGCTGCTGCTGCTGCTCCTGCTCCTCCTCCTCCTCCTCCTTCTCCTCCTCCTCCTCCTCCTCCTCCTCCTCCTGCTCCTCCTCCTCCTCCTACTCCTCCTGCTCCTCCTCCTCCTCCTCCTCATCCTTCCCCCCCTCCTCGACTCGACTCGTTCCGAATCGGACCCTTTGGCAGGCAGGAGCTGGATCCCCCGCGGCTCGTTCTGGATCGGACCGCCATCGGATCGCCGCGCCCGCATCAGGCTAAATAGCCCGAGCAGATTGAAGGGGCCCCAGGACACACACAAATAAATACACACAGATAAAAAGGTCCCCCATATTTTCCCATATTTTTGGGTTTTTTGTCTTCCCCCCCACTTCCCATCTTTTTGCATATTTTCCTGGGAGTCGACGATTAATTGTGTCTGCGTGTTTCTTTCCCTCCTGACGGATGCCGGCACATCGAACCGAATCGAAATGACTCAGAATCGGGGCACCACCCAGCGAATCGCATCGCATCGCATCGGATAGTAAGCGGCCCTGGCTGCACCCAGCGTGGGGCGTGCCAGCAGGGCCAGGGCGCCACGCGTGTTCTCCAGCGCGTCGTCTTCGCACACGCGAGGAAGAGTCGGATGGGCTCCGACCTCAGGCGGTGGCAATTTCTGTGGTGATGCTCCGCGGCGGTGGGCGGCCAAACAACTGGAGATGCCTTGATGGTGCGGAGCAGTCAAGGCCGCCAACATTCATTGCTCGCCTCCGCGCTTCGGTGTAGACTTCTTCACGCCATAACCGAACCTAGTGATGCCGGATCAGTGTCGAGTCGAGTGCTGCTGCTCCTTTTCCTCCTCCTCATCCTCCTCCTCCTCATCCTCCTCCTCCTCCTCCTCGGTCCTTGGCCTTCGATGAACAATGCGTTTGACGTTTGTGGCCCCTGTCGGGCCCACGGAGATCTCCGACCTCTAGGCACCCCCACCTCCTCATGCCCCTCCTCATCCTCCTCCCTCCATCCCTCCGTCCTTGATGCTCCTTCCTCTGTCTCACCCAGCAGAGCTCGAAGTGGAAGATGGTGGACGATTGGGGTGGAGGACGAGAACGATGGAGGTGGAGGAGGATCAAGGATACTGTTGAAAGAGGTGGTGGTGCTGATGCTGCTGCTGCTGATGGTGATTCTGCTGATGATGATGAGATGACACTGATGATGATGCTGCAGATGACGATGCTGATGATGCTGGTAATGATGATGACGACGACGAGGATGATGATGACGATGATGATACGAATTTTGGTGAATATGATGCTGCTGGTGATGACGATCATGATCATGATGATGCTGTTGATGATGCTGCTGATGATACTCACGATGATGATTATGATGATGGTGATGATGGTGATGATAGTGATGCTGATGCTGATGGTGATGTTGTGTTTTTTTGTGATGTTGATGCTGATGCTGATGCTGATGGTGATGATGATTATGATAATACTGAGGATGCTGATGATGGTGAAGATGGTGATGATGATGATACTGGTGATGGTGATGATCAGTTCGATGATGATGATAATGATGATTGTGAATATGATGATGACGATTATGATGATGCTGCTGATGATGCATGTGAATCTGAATACGGTGGTGAGTGACGATCGTGATGTGGGCGATCCCACTCTTATGGCACGGGCGCAATCATACATGATGATGCTGAGGATGTTACGCGTGTTGATGCTACCGCTGCTTCTCCTACGACTGATGATGGCGAGAGTGGGTGAGAAGAAACAGGTCAACGAACTACCCAGCTTGTCCATGCCATGCTCGAAACAACACGAACCCACAATAGCTATGAATCACATCCGCAAGGACACGAGAGGGGGGAAGAGACATGGAGGGAGGAGGGGAAATCAGAGAGGAGATGGGACGAATGAGGAGGGAGAGAGGGATGAGTGATGAGTGCACGCGGAGGAGGAGGGAGGAGGGGGAGAAGTAAGGATGAGGGATGAGGCTGAGTAGGAGCAGAAGGAGATCTGAGGGACGATGGATGATGATTAAAGATGGATCGACAGGATGATGAAGATGAAGATGAAGATTCACATGATGATGGTGATGATGATTATGATGGTGAAGATGAAGATGACGATGATGATGACGATGGTGATGATGATGCTGCTGATGATGACGATGGTGTTGGTGATGATGCTGCTGATGATGACGACGACGAAGGAACTGCAGACTCGCCTGCTGTCACAACTGCCCCGCGCAGCGTTCAGGGGAGCATTCTGCCTTCGGAGAGGCGAGGGAGACGTAGGGCCGAAGAGAAGGACTGGAGAGATCCGCCGACACCTGCTTGCGGGGGGTGGAACGGCGTGTGAGATGCTTGGCTGTCCGCCTCGAACAGTCCCTCCTTCCCAGGTGCGGGGGGGGGGCAATGCTGTCAGAGGGGGGGGGCAACGACACGCCAACGCACTTGCTGGGCCCTCAAAACCTCCCATCTTAACCCTCCGACACCTGCTAGATGCCTAGGGTGCACTGCTCGTGAAGGGGGCTCTAATGAGCTCCGAGAGGTCCCAACGGAGAGCCGAGACATTCAGTATCATGACAATCACACAGTCGGGCTGTTGAGACAAGGAACGCTGAAGAGGGAACGACGCCCCTTTCTGGCACCAGGAATGCGTGGGCACACGAGCCTGGCTCGGAGAACAGCCACGGAATGGCCCGAGGAACAACGGGCCCCTTCCTCCTTTCGGCGCCCTGGCTGTATCTGACCCGACTTCGCGAGCTCGCTGTTTCGTGCCACGCCCGGCCACGGTCTGGGAGACCTGCCCGGAGCTTCCCGGTGGCCTCCACACTGTCCCAGCACTCTGGGAGCCGGCCGTAAACCTTCAACCTTGGTTGCCGCCGGGAATTCGTAGAGCTTTCTCGCGCAATGCGGGCGCGGTGATCTGGCATTCCGCGCGCGCGGGGTGCGGCTTCATGGAGAAGCGCTAGAGGGGAGAAGAAGAAGTGAGGAGAAAGGAGATGAAGGAGGGCGAGAAAGAGAAGAAGGGAGGCTCCCGGGGCGAGCCTCCGCGTCGCCTGCGCCCCCCCCCCCCCCAAAAAAAATGCCTCCACGGCGGCCCCCGGGCCGCCCCGAAGACCGACCGCGCCGGGACGCTCTCCTCCTCCCCCGCGAGGCCACGGGGGGCCTCCCCCCACTCGGCGGCGAGCGACGGGGGGGGGCAAGCGAGAAGGGGAAGGCCTTCTCTAGGGGGCAAACAATGAAGGGGCCCTGGGACACACACATAAATACACACAAAGAAAAGGATTCCCCATATTTTGCCATATTTTCGGGGTTTCTGTCTTCCCCCCCACTTCCCATATTTTCCTATATTTTCTGGGGAATCGAGGATTAATTGTGTCTGTGTGTTTTTTCCTCTCCTGAAACAAACCTACCTCGCTTTTGACCACCCTCGCTTCCAAGAGATACCAAGCGATGCGCCAAACTAAGGCCTGTACTGGTCCAGCCGCTTGGGGAGGAGGCGCGTGGCATGACTTGGTTTTGCCGGGAAGCGAAAGCGGGGTAGGTAATTCACGTCTGATTCTCAGACGGCGGCGGGACGTCTCAGAAGTCCTCGCGCCTGCTGAGAAGTTTCTAAGATTGCGTCGGGGAAGGCCTAGGAGACTCCTCAGACGGCGGGGGGACCTCGAGCCTTCTGGGAAGGCCTTCTCCTTCTCGCTGTTCCCCCTCGCTCGCCGCCGAGCATGGGCCTCCCCGAACGACCCCCCACGCGTCTTCGAAGCGATGCCCAGGTGACCCCGAGAGCTCCCAAGCGGGGCCCACTGAGGCTTCAACGAGGCTCCTGGAGAGTCCCGGGCGACCGACGCCCGAGACAGACCGCACATGGCCCAACGAGGGCCGCGAAGGAGGCCCAGATGCTCGGCGTCCAGGCCTCAGTGGGCCCTGGAAACGACAGGGCCGTTTTTGTTACTGGTTCCGTTTTGCAATTTGTTGCCGGTTCCGTCGCCGTTTTTTACCGGTTCCGTCGCCGTTTTTTGACCGGTTCCGGCTCCGGTTCCAATCCTGGAGCCCTTTTTTTGCCGTTTCCGGTCGCCGTTTTTTTGCCGTTTCCATTTTCAAGGGGCATTTTTCTGGAAACGATGAAAAAACGGCCCTGCCGTTTCCGGGGCCCACAAAGGTCCAGGCCGCACCCCCCCCCCATAATTACGGGCTGCTTGTGAGATGTCCGCCTTCGCTGCCGCCTTTCGGGCTCTCTGCTTGCTGCCTCCTGCCGTGCGAGCTCTTGCTCTCACCGCCTCTCACCTCTATCACTCCCAGATGCGGCGGTTCTACCAATCCTCCCCCCCTCCCCATCTCCACTCACACTCCTTCACCTCCACATCATTCCGCTGATGCTTCGAGCTCTCGAGGATAACCCTATGCACCACAGCAGCCCCCTCCTGATAGAGCCACGAACCTCGACATTGGAGCGCAAGGGCGGACACTAACCACGAGCAAGACAAGGGTGCGGAAGGAATTACCCTGTGACGTACCCAACCATTTCTATACACGTGGCGATTATACTCAGGACCACTCAATGCTGACTGGCATTCTGAAGGACCCGCAGTGCGCGTACCTCCGCTGGACCTCCCAGGAGCCCACGAAAGTGGCGACATTTGTGCAGATCGCAAGCCCTCCAGGGGGCGGCGAGGCCTGCCAGGAGCCCACGAGAATGCCGACAGTTGCGTAGATTGCAGCCCCCCAGGGCACCGCGAGCTACAGTGGTGGTCCGCGTGGGACGTACCTCCGCTGGGCCTCCCAAGAGCCCACGAAAGTGGCGACAGTTTCGCAGATCGCAGCCCCCCAGGGCACCGAGAGCTATAGTGGTGGTCCGCGTGGGACGTACCTCCGCTGGGCCTCCCAAGAGCCCACGAAAGTGGCGACAGTTTCGCAGAACGCAGCCCCCCAGGGCACCGAGAGCTATAGTGGTGGTCCGCGTGGGACGTACCTCCGCTGGGCCTCCCAAGAGCCCACGAAAGTGGCGACAGTTTCGCAGATCGCAGCCCCCCAGGGCACCGCGAGCTATAGTGGTGGTCCGCGAGGGACGCACCTCTGCTTGGCCTCCCAGGAGCCCACGAAAGACGAAAGTGCAGACAATTGCGCAGATCGCAGACGGCACGAGAGAAGAGGAGAAGGGAACACAGGAAACAGGAGGGAAGGAGGAGAGGAGGAGAGGAGGACGAGGCGAGAGAAGGAGGGTGGAGATCGCACTGCTCCATTCAAAACGAGGACCCAATACAGGAGGGTTGGGAAAAACGATCTTGGCGCCCCACGTCGGCTCCAGTGTTGTCAGTCTCCCTCCCGAGGCCGTGTCGGGGCCCTCTTGAGATGTCAGGGAGGGGGGCCAGCAGGAGGGGGGGAGGAGCAGCAGCAGCAGGAGTGGGGCGGAGGAGGGGAGCAGCAGGAGGGAGAAAAGGCGTGGCTAAGAGAGCGTTGTGGGTGGCGACAGGGTGAGACGGCATGAGCTGGGAGACGGCAGGGTGGCGGAGGAAAGGAGACAGGGAGGCGGGAGGGAGCAGGAAAAGGGGAAGGAGGAGGAGGACCCGAAGGGAGATGAGGGGAACCTCGTGTTGTCACCAATCTTATCCAGAAGTCAGGGGGGTAAAGAGAATCCGGAGGAACGATGAGGTAGGAGGGAGATGGAACGACGAGGAATTATCCTGGTGAAGGACCGAAGCACCTGCAATTGTGAACAGCGCAGGGTAGGTGGGACAAAAGAGGGGAAGCTCGATCCCTATTGGGCCACGAAGCGTGTGAGGGGTGCGCTGAAATTGGCGAGAAGCCGCAGGTGGACCCTGCAACTGGGGCCTTAAGTGGAGCTCCTCATGGGGCCACGAAACTTTTGATGAGGGGTGCGCCGAAACTTGCGCTGAGCCGCTTGTGGACCCTGCCACTGGGGCCTTCGGTGGAACTCCCTGTGTGGCGTGTGGTCACGAAACATGTGAGGAGTGCGCCGAAATTTGGCGGGGTCGCCATGCAAACTTTGCCGCTAAGGCCTTCGGTGGAGCTCCGTATGGGGCCACGAACCGTGCGAGGGGTGCGCTAGAATGGGGCGTGGCCGCCATGCAGACTTTACCAATGGCGCCGTCGGTGGAACTCTCTGTGGGGCCACGAAACGTGTGCGGGGTGCGCCGGCATTGGGCGGGGCCGCCATGCAAACTTTGTCGCTGGGGCCTTCGGTGGAGCTCCCTAGAGGGTCGCGAACCATGTGAGGGGTGCACCGACATTGGGTGGGGTCGCAATGCGAACTTTGCCACTGGGGCCTTCGGTGGAGCTCCCTCTGTGGTCACGAACCGTGCCAAGGGTGCGCCGACGTATGGCGAGACCGCTATGCGAGCTTTGTCACTGGGGACTTCGGTGGAGCTCCCTGTTGGGCCACGAAGTGTGCGTGTAAGGTGTGCGCCGAAATGTGGCGGGGCCGCCATGCGAACTTTGACGCTGGGGCCTTGGGTGGAGCTCCCTGTGGGGCCACGAAGCGTGAGGGATGCGCCGAAATGTGGTGGGGCCGCCATGCGAACTTTGCTACTGGGGCCTTCGGTGGAGCTCCCTGTGGCCACGAAGCGTGCGAGCTGTGCGCCGAAGTGGGGCGTGGCCGCCATGCGAACTTTGCCACTGGGGCCTTCGGTGGAACTCTCTATGGGGCCACGGGCCATGTAAGGGGTGTGCCGAAACAGATACATGCGGAGGGCAGAGGCAAGGGAGGGAGGAGGGAGGGAGGAGACCAGGAGAGGAGGTGGGACGCGGGGCGCTGTCTCCTCAAAACGAGGACCCGACATCACAGGATGATTGGGAGAAACTGATGGAACGAAAATTGCCTCTGGAGGGCCTCTTGAGTCGTCTTTGGCCCCTTCCTGGGGGGCCTCTTGCGGGCTCTATAGACAGGTTCTTGAGGCCATTTGGGGCATGCTGTGTCCTGGGCCGTCTTGCGCTTCTGGAGCTCTTTTGGGGGCCTCCTTAAGGACTCCCGGGGTCATCTAGGGCCTAGGGGTCGTCTTGGGGATTCTGTGCTCTCCCCAGGGCATCGTTACGCCTTGTTTTCAAATCTCGAGGTGCCTTCAGGCCCTCCGGAGGTTCACCAAAGGCGTGACGATCAGAAACATGTCGGAGGACGAATGATCTATAAAAGCCAGACTGGTTTGTAATGCAGTGGCGCACATTCAGATCTCTCGGGTGCAGTTTCCAGGACGCCTCACCGGACCCTCCTGGGCCATCCTGAGGACATATTGGGCGCCTCTTGAGGCCCTGATGGGAACTTCGTGTAGGCCCGTTGCCTCCCAAATGGGGTCCGAGTAGGTTGGGTCGAGGGATTGCGCTGCATTGCCGATGCGTCGATGCATCGGCGACGTCGGCGAGGAGAACATCGGGCTCCAAAGCAAGCCGCAATGTCGATGCGTTGCCGATGCACAGCGATCCTTCGGTCCCATCTGCTCGGACCCCATTGGGGAAGCCTAGATGGAGGCGCTCTGGGTAGCCTTGGGGGGCGGCGGAATGGCGTAAGCCTCTTGAAGGAAAGATCAGAAGAGGAGTGAGGAAATGCCGGCGGTCAATGCGATTCCTACCTACAAGTCTCAGCTCAGCACCCGTCAGATACCCAAGGAGCCGAGACGATCTGCCACAGCACCGCCGTGGGCAACCTGGCATCTCGAACAAAATCCACCGATCCACCAGGACTCGACGTTCGAGGGCCACAACACATTGATCTCGAGCAGGCGCTGGATAGATGCTCCTTGCCATCCTTAGTGGAAGAAGAACAGGCCTGAGCATGAACGTCCGAAGGTCCGCGCGAATTTCTTGGATCTGCGTCCTGGGGCGGCGCCGGAGGCGCCGCCAAGGGGGGGCCCAGCGCCGATCTGAGAAATCCGCGCGGACCGTCGAAAGTTTGTGCTTATGATCTTCTGTTCGTCGAGCCCTGGCAGCAGCAGGCGCCCATCGGGGGCGTGCTGGTCACTGTACGCGGTCGCCCCCCGCGAAAGCGGCGTGGCCGTCCTGAGAGGCAACGATGCGGGGGGGAGGGCGCCGGGTTCAGGGCGGGGGCTCGCCATCGCTCGGACGTCCATTCCCTGTGTTTTTTCGGTTTCGTGCGTGGTTTTTCCGCCAAATGATCAAGGATGCTCCTCGATGGCCCTCGCCGAGAAAAAAAGCACACGTCCGAGCGATGCCAGGGGGAAGCATCGCCCTGGAGCCGGCGATGCATGGCCGATAGATCGGGGACAGGCACCCCGATGGCGAATCCGCACGCTCCTGGGCGGGTCGGGGTGACCAGACAGCCGACGATCCATGGGCGATCGGGGATCGACGCGTTCCGCCCCCGGAGCCCGTCCCCCCCAACCGCTGCCCCTGACGTCCCAGCACAGCTCCGCCCACAACAGCGGGCGGCCGGCGGGGAACTGCTTCCGCACCAGGTCGTCGGGCAGCCACGCCAGGTAGTCGTCGGTGTGGCCCGCGAGCACCGAGGAGGCCTTCGGGGAGCGCCCGAGAGGGAGCTCGTCAATCATGGCCGAGGCATGTGCGCGGACGAGGGGGGAACCAGGGGACGCATTGATCCGCCTCCTCCTCCTCCTCCTCCTCCTCCTCCTCCTCCTCCTCCTCCTCCTCCTCCTCCTCCTCCCCCTCCCTCCACCGCCCGCCCCATGTCCCGAGCCTGTGGCAGGGTCAGCGGCTCGTCGTTGTCATTGTCGTAATGGTCGTGGTTGTCGTTGTCGTGGTCGTGGTCGTGGTCGTGGTCGTCGTGGCTGTGGTCGTGGACGTGGCCGTCGTCGTCGTCGTCGTCGTCGCCGTCGTCGTCGCCGCCGCCGTCGTCGTCGTCGTCGTCGTCGTCGTCGTCGTCGTCGTCGTCGTCGTCGTCGTCGTCGTCGTCGTCGTCGTCTTGTTGCCGGCCGTAAGGCCCTTCACAGTAAGAACCGGCGTCGCGGACTCGGGGGTAATGATCATGGCCCCCTTCAGGCTACCCCCCCGCCCCCCCCGGTCGTCACCCCCCTTCTGGGCCGCCCCCGAGGCCTGCACCCCGTCGACCAGGATGCTGCCGGGCCGCCAGAGCTGCCTCGGCCGCGCCCCCCCAGCGCAGGGCGCGGAGAGCTCGGCGCCGACGGCCTCGACCATGGCGGACCGCATGCTGGCGAGCCCGGGCAGGATCGCAGCCGCCTCCGCGCCGCCCAGCTCGGCCAGGTCGGCACAGACGACGATCGGCGGGGCGCCGACGCAGCCTGGGCTGGGCTTCCGCAGCGCCGCCTCGAGGCCCGTGAAGCAGCCGTCCGTCAGCTGAGGCATGATGCACGCAATGCGAACGATCTGGCCCGCCGTGCCGTCGCGCCGCGGCTGAAGGTCCACCGACACGCCACTCTCGAAGCGGTGCGTAGCGACTGCGCGCCAGCGGCCTTGGTTCCAAAAGACAGCCACCGCCATCTCGCGATCCACCTCCTCAACCTGCTCGCGACTGTCGGCGTCACCTCCAGTGTGGCGGGCCGACATGGCGAAGCAACTGTAGCCCCACCCGGAGAAGGTCGCCGCGATGTCGCCTCCGAGGCCCTCCGGGTCGAGACCTTGCAGGCAGGCCACGTCGCAGGGGTGGGCGCCCAGCTCCATGCCGAGCCTCAAGCGGCGCTGGTGACCGTGGGCGGAAGTATCCATCAGGGGGCCGTCGACCGCGTGGGAGAGGACCTGGATGACACGTTGTGCTCCTTCGGGTGGGGTCTGCTGCAGCACCAAGGGGTAACGTACCTCTGGCGGGGCCCTCAACCCCCAGCGGCCTCCTTCGAGCCAGCGCAAGCGCGTGGGGCGGACAAGCTCGCCAAGCCGCTGCGCCGTGCCCTCTGGCAGCTGCGCCAGCAGACCCTTTACGCGACTGTCTGCGCCAAGTAGCTCGTTGGGTCCCAAGCGTATGGCAAGAAGCTCCTCTCGGGTCCAAGGGCCAGCGGGGCAGCTCTTGGGGGGGCCGAGCTGCGTCTTGATCAGGCCATGCATGTAGTCGCTGTGCTGGAGCACGAAGGGATCGAAGCAAAAGTCCAGCAGGCAGCTCAAGAGCACAAGAGGCGTCCGCTCCTGCAAGGCTGCTGCCGTGCGGGAAGCTGCGCTGGCCGGTACGACATCCTCGACCGCGGGCCCGCTCTGGGCTGCGGCGGCTGCGGCCGCTCCAGCTCCGTCTGCGACCACTGCCCGCTCCAACCCGGGAGCCCCACGAACCCCGCTGCCACCTGGCAGCGGCGACGACGGCGCTGGCAGAGCATGCTGGCTCATCCCCGCGAGCAGCATGCGCGCCGCGGCCGCCGTGGAGTCCGCTGGCGGCACGGGGGGCAGCGCGAGCACAGCCGGCAGCAGCGGCGCGCTGCACGAGCCGGGCTCCGCCGAGGGCGGCGGCTGCGCGCCGCGGTGCCGAAGCGCGTCCGCCTCGGTGCGCAGGCCCGCGCTCCCCGCAGCAGTCGGCCGTCGCTGGTCGTCGGTGCTGACGCTGGCGCGCCTCACGGCGCCGCCCTGGCCCTTGCCCTTGGCGGGGCCTGCGGAGAGCTTGGTTGGGGTCGAAGAGTTTCGGGGCTTCGCCGGCGTCTCGGGCGTGGTGGTCAGCGCGCCCCGCGGAGGCCGCGCCTTCCGGTGGGCAGCCCAAACAGGAGAGGGCAGCTGATGTCCGGCCACGGCATGGCCCCACGCTTCCTGCACCTCCTCCTCCAACCCATCATCCCTCTGCGCCCTCCCTCCTCACTCTTTCCCCCCCTTGCTCTCCTCCCTCGCCGCCCTCCTTCGCCGTCTTCTTCGGCCCTCCTCCCCCCCTTTCCTGTCTCCTCCGACCCTCCCTTCCGCCGCGAGGTCCGAGGACGCACCCCAGACGCTGAGCACATCAGCTACCAGCGGACAGCTCCGAGGAGCGGAGACGGGACCTCCTCTCCGGAGAGGTCTTGGAGCCCCTGGGCCCCTGATCCTTGTTCTGTGCTCGGATGCGTCCCTACTCTGCCACCGCTTGGCGGTGCGCACAAGGGGGTGGAGGGAGGGGGAGGGCTCCTTAGAAGTAGGCTGCTTCTTAGAAGGCGCTGGCCTTACGTCTATAGATAAGGCCCGCGCCTTCTAAGAAACAGGGGTGCTTCTAAGAAGCCCTCCCCCCTCCCCCCCCTCTGCGCGTCGCTGAACCTAGCAGGCCCATATCGACCCGATCCGACACGGCCCATCCGACCTGTCGCGGAACAATGCAGCTGCAGTGTTTTCACTTCAAAAGCGCATAATTTCTGTCAACGTTTCAAGATGCGTCGCAGCAGCGGGACGGGCGTTACGCATCCCGCGCGAAACGTCGCTCTCGCCTCGGCGCCGCGCTCCTCTTTCCGGAGCCTTGCGGTCCCTCTTGCGCGCGGCGCGCAGTTGTCGCCGCCCACTCGGTCGACGCTGGAGTGGACGAGCGTGTCGCTCTCGCCTTGGAACCGCGCAGATGCTGCTTGAACGTGGCGTTCCCGCCTCGGCCCGGCGCGGATATAGCCCTCGCTGGAGTTTGAGGGCCCGGCGACGTGTCCACCGCGCCCAGGCTCCGCACACATTGCTCGTCGAAGTGGCGATTCCGCCGCGGGCGCGGCGCGGCGAAACGCGTTCTTCGCCCAGGCCCCCCCGCACCTTGCGCGCGACAATGGCAAGGATGGTTTGGCGCGGCGCAGATGTTGTTTTCACCGTGGTCATCGGCACTTTGGCCGCCCGCGGGCTGGCTAAATTGTGTTCCCGCCGCAACGCGGCGCAAGGATTTCCAGAAGTCCCGCTCCCGCCCCTGCACGGCCCGCGTAGCTGGCCCTTCGCCAAATCGTCGGCGGTGGGGCCGCGCGCAAATGTCTGCCCGTTCGATGGGTGGGAACGCGATTCAACGTCAGTGGCAATTCGTGCCACGACTTATTATGTTATGAGAGGGAAGGTGGAGAAAAGGCGGAGGCCACTAAATCGTTAGATCTGGCTAGCTTGACCTACTCCCCACTCATCCTCTTCCTCGTCCTCCTCCTCCGTCTCCCTCTCCTCTTTTTTTCTCCTTGTCCTGTTCCTTTTCCTGTTCCTTCTCCTTCTCCTACTTCTCCTCTCGTCTCCCCTTCCTCCTTTCCACATTTTTACACGATGAATATGCTTACTGCTCTACTCTCTCCCGGGAGACGTCTTATAATAATCCCGCCCTGTCTGTCCACCGTTCTTCCCCACCTGACTTCAAAACTTGATAAGTATGCCTGGTGTGTCCGTCCTAGCGTTTTCGGTCCTTCCTAAATGATGGTTCTCGATGCAACGTTGGCTTCGTTTCCATGTTCTCCTTATTTCACAACGGTGTTCGCGTTTGGGCATTGGCTTCTTTTCCACATTTCCTGTCCTTCCCAATACTGCTCTAGCTGTAGAATTGGCCTCGCTACGCGTTTCCAGTCATTTAAACTGATGCTCCCGCAGCGGCGTTGGCCTCATTTTCTCGTGCGTGTCCTTCTCGAAGATGCTCCCGATATCTCGCAGGAAGTGGTGCACCCGCTATAGCGTTGGCCTCATTTTCAAATTGTCGGTCCTTCTAAATATCGTTCCGCCTACAGCGTGGTCTTCATTTCTAAAGTGTCTATCCTTGACACTGGTGCCCTGGCTCCAGCGTTGGCCACATTTCTGAAGCCGCATTCCTGACTTGCCCCAGAACCTCCGTTCGAAGGACTGGCGCTCCCGACGCAGCGCAAGCCGTCCGCTTGCATCAACGTGTGGCTTGCGCCTCCCAACCCAAAACCAATCCCTGCATGCTGGCACTTCGACTTGGAACTCCCGCTACACTGTTGGCCCCATTCCAAGGAATGGGGCTCTCGCTGCAGCGGTAACAATACTATTGGATCGGCATTGGCTCGCGTCTCCCCGCCCATTATTCCTACGCAGTGCCTCCTACGCCGTACGTTGTCATGCTATGCGGCTTGGCGTTTACGTTTACCCTTTCGGGAGCAATTTCTTCTTCAGCACCCGACTCTGCGAAGAGAGAGGGGCTCGACGCAATGGCAAGGGATGGGAGGGAGGGGTATGACGTCAGACATGACGCGAGCACGCCTAGCTTGCCTCCCTCCTCTCTCCTCTACAACTACTCCATATGAGCACCAAGCGCTGGCTCAGCACGTCCCTGCGGACGGCAGCTCGTGCCGGGCGGCCCCGTGACCGCTGCACCGCCCCCCCCCCCCGCCGACCCCCCGTGGCCCTCTCTCTCTCTCTCATGGCGGTCGAAGGGAGCTCCTGCAGCCATGCACACCTTCCCTGCCCCTCTCAACCCGTCAAGGTCCTCGGTTCCCGTGGCCCTCTTCCCCTCCTGCTGCCAGCACGCGCGCACGCAGGCACGCGCGGGCGCGCGCTCACGACCCCGTGCGCGAGACGCCCACGCACACTCTTCGCGCCCGCGGGCGTGCGCCACGCACGCGGAGGCCATACGCACGCACACGCGCAGTGCGCGCCGCATGCACGCCCACGGCAGCGCAATCGCGAGGAGGAGGAGGAGGAGGAGGAGGAGGAGGAGGAGGAGGAGGAGGAGGAGGAGGAGGAGGAGGAGGAGGGAGGAGGGAGGAGGAGGGAGGAGGGGAGGGAGGAGGAGGAGGGCGGAAGACGGAGGAGGAGGAGGAGGAGGAGGGAGGAGGAGGAGGAGGAGGACGAGGAGGACGAGGAGGAGGAGGAGGAGGAGGAGGAGGAGGAGGAGGAGGAGGAGGAGGAGGAGGAGATTGGCCTTCCGGTGCTCCTCCATCTCCGGCCTCGCCGCTCCGCGGCGGACCGCCGCTTCCCAGGCTTCCCGGGCGCCGGCGCGGGGCGGCACAGGCCCCGCGGCGCGCGCTGCTTTGAAGGGGCCCCAGGACACACCAATAACTACACACAAAGAAAACTATCCCCCATATTTTTCCAAATATTTTCTGGGTTTTTGTCTTCCCCCCCACTTCCCATATGTTCCCATATCTTCCTGAGAATCGACGATTGATTGTGTCTGTGTGTTTTTTCCTCTCCTGATACTTGACCGCCTCGGCCTTCGGGGGCGCAGGCCAACGCGTCTGGGCGCTGCACCTCCGGCTGTGCTCCGGGGTGCAGGAGGTGCGCACGAAGAAGGGTCTGATGGTGGTCGGGGCCCTCCTGCGAAGGCTGACGGCGAACCTTCTGGAGGACAACCTCTTGACGAACATGTCCACGCTGCCTCTGGAGACGTGACTGGGGAAGGCGTTGCTGATGTGGCGTGCTCGTATTCTCTTCGTGCGCACGACCGTATCCCCGATGCACGTCGTGTCGCCCGCCCAACGTCCTTGAGAAAGTGCTCACGAAGGTCGCGGGCCTGTTCGTGAAGCAGCCCTGGTACAAGGTGCAAAAAGGCCGTATCGAGCTGTGTCGGAATGAGGCGGCTCAGTACAACAGGCGCTGGGCTGTGCCACGCGTGCGCCGGCGCGGCGCAGAGCGCCCGTCGGCAAGGGCGGTTGCTAGATTTTCGCCCTGGCATTTTTCCTTTGCTCTCTCGTTCGTGGGACGCGCTGGATTCGTGGCGCGCCACGCCTAGAACCTAGAATCGACATGACAACTATTTCCCTGTCTTCCCTGACTCTGTGCGGTGTGCAGTGGTTGTCCCATTATCTCCGCACTTTGTTTTTCACAGCCAGGGGTTCAATCATTGGTATTTGATGCGGTCTTGTTCAATCCTGTCACCTTCGGCGTCTGAAAACGATGTGCCTGATTTTAGGATCGGCGCTTCGCTCCCGTCGATCATAATGGCACTCTCGCCCAAGCGCTGGCCACTGTTCTGCATCCGAGTCCTTCCGCATCGTTGTCGCTCCCCTCCTTTTCCCTCCTCCGCCTTGCTTTGGTCCTTCCGCTCTCGTTTCACTCCAACTCCTGCTGCTGCTGTTCGTCCTCGTCCTTTTCCCTTCTGCTCCTCCTCCTCCGTCGTTTCCTCCTGCTCATCCTCTTGCTCAGCCGCCACCTCCTTCTCCAATGCTGCGACTCCCTTTTTTTCCGATCGCGCATGGAACGAGGAGGTCCGTTTTGGAACTCCAGGTCCGCTATGATACGCGTCGGCGGACAGAAAAAACAACCCAATGGCAAGGGATGTGTGTGTGACTCGTTCGAAGAAATTGTATACATTTCTCGATTTGCGCGTGTCATCCTTGCGCAAGGGCCATGCTAATCTTCCCTGTATCGTTCCAATTCTAACGGATAATCCCCGAAGGGGATCTGGCAAAGGATGTTTGTGTGTGTGCGCGCGCGAGGGGGGGGGTAGGATGACAGAGATGGTGCGAGCGCGCCTCGCTTGCGTCTCTCTCCTCTCTGCTCCCTGCGGTTACTCAATCGACTACGGCTCTCCCCTCTCTTCCGCGAAGATGCCTGGGGCGCGGTCCCGCCCCCTCCTCCTCCTCCCTCATCCTCCTCCTCCTCCTCCTCCTCCTCCTCCTCCTCCTCTTTCTGAACAACGCGGGATGTCGAAAGTTCGTTGTTCTTACGCGTGCGCGCGTCCCAGCCATCGTGTGGTGCTGGGCCCTCGCCTGCGAAGAACCAATGCCCCGCGTCCTCCTCTCTCTCTCTCTCTCTCCTCCTCCTCCTCCTCCTCCTCCTCCCCCTTCCCCTCCTCCCTCCTCCTCCGGATCTCCCCATCTGCCCTCTGTCCATGAATCTCGGGCACCCCTCACACGCTTCGTGGCTCTACGAAGGCCCCCGTCGCAGCCGTCGCAGGGCGGCCCCGCGCCAATCTCGGTACACCCCCCCTCGCACGCTTCGTGGGCCGATGCGGGGCTCCACCGGCGGCGTCAATGGGTGCGCTCGCATGGCGGCGCCGCACTCGATGGTTGGCACAACCCTCGCAGGCATGGAGAACTCCGCCGGAGGACCCAATGACAATGTCTGCATGCGGACGCCGCGCCGATGTCGGCACACCTATCGCGCGCTCCGTGGCTGTAGAAGGAGCTCCACCGAGAGCTCCAGCGGCTGCTTTTTCGCATGACGGACCCGCGCCGATTTCGGCACACTGTTCACAAATTCCGTGGCCCCATAACGGACTTCACCGAAGAGGCTACTCGCAGTCTCGTTACTCACAACTGCATATGGGTGGGGTCTTGGGCAAGATAAGTTTGAAACTCCGTGTGGCTGCGGTATTTCAACAAGGTTGTTCCGCTGCAGCGTAGGCCTCATGTTCGGATCGGCGCTTTGTTCCCGTCGGTCCGAATGGTGGTTTCGCCCCAGCGTGCATAGGCTACTCTTCTGGATCCCACAAGCCTCGCAGGTCCCACAGGTCCCGCAGGCCTCGCAGGTACCACGATCCCAACACTTCCCACAATCCCCACATGTCCTCACAGGTCCCCCAGGTCAGACAGGTCTCGCAAGTGTCGCAGGTCCCACAGGCCCCACACACAACAGAGGCCCCCCCAGGTCGCCCAGGTCCCAGACGTCCCGCCCACAGGTCCACAGTTCCCACCTACCCCGCATGTCCCAGAGGCCCCGCAAGCGACAGAAGCCCTACAAGTTCCACGCGTCCCGCAGACCGCAAAGTTCCCACAAGGTCCACCTGCCCCACAGGTCCCGCCCGTTACGTGTCCTACTATCGGGGTGCTTTGCCAGGGTCATGGAGCTCCAGAGCGGCCATGGCACACGTCCGCGGGTAGAGAACAATCAGCGCCGTGGCGAGGAACGGGGGGGGGAGGGATGGGATGTCGGGTGTGTCGCGGGTGCACGTAGCTTGCGTCTCTCTCCCGCCCTCTCTGTCCTCTCTCTCTCTCTCTCTCTCGCTCTCACTTGTACAGTCCCTCAAAGTAAATACTGCTCGACTCTCTTCTGCCCCCCGAGGATGGTGAGAATCGCGCGTCCCCCTTCACTGATTTGTTGCTAGACGCAGGACGGGCAAGAACCGTGCTCTCTGTTCGTCGGATGCGTCCGATCCGGACTTTCTCGGTCCTTCCAAAGTGGTTGTCCTGCTGCAGAGCGGGTCTCATCTTAGGATCGGCGCTCTGTTCCCGTCATCCAGAATCGCACTCTCGCCCAAACGCGAGCTACTTTACTGGATCCAGTTCCTTCCTTGTCGTTGTCGCCCCCCTCCTTTCCCCTCCTCCACCTTCCACTGATCTTCCTGCTCCCCCCGCTCCTTCCACTCCAGCTCCTGCTACTGCTGTTCGTTCTCGTCCTCCTCCTTCTTCGTCCTCGTCTGTTTCCTCTTGCTCATTCCTTCTGCTCATCCTCCACCTCCTGCGATATACGCAGCTCCTCTTCCCCGATTGCGCATTACACGACATGGTCCTGTTTGGAGTTCCAGGTCCTCCATGACACGCGTCCGCGCACAGAAACTCAATGCGGCGCAACGGGAAGGCATGAGTGTGTGTGTGTGTGGGGAAGCGTCAGATCTGGTGAGAGCGCACACCTGGCTTGTCCTCCCCCCGTCTCTCCCTCCCTCCCCCTCCCCGTCTCCTCTTCTTCCCCTTTCCGCCAAGAGGACCGAGAACGCTTCCGCAGCGTTGAGCACATCAGCTAGGAACGGACACCACCGAGAGAAGGCCGTCTCCAGTGCGGGAGTCGGACCTCGGTCTCAGAGGTATGAAGACCTCGCGGCCCCTGGGAGGGCGCGTCGCGGCTGTTACTGCGGCTCGGGCTCAGCCCGCGGTGCTTGCTGAGGTCCGGCCCCCCCCCCCCCGCTCCTCCTCCTCCTCCTCCTCCTCCACCTCCACCTCCTCCTCCTCCTCCTGCTCCTGCTCCTCCTCCTCCTCCTCTTTTGTTGTTGTTGTTCCTTCTCCTTCTCCTCCTCCTCCTCCTCCTCCTCCTCCTCCTCTTCTTCTCAATCCCCCTCCCTCCGGCGAGCAGGGGGGAGGAGGAGGAGGAGGAGGAGGAGGAGGAGGAGGAGGAACAACAAAAAAGAGGACGAGGAGGAGGAGGAGGAAGAAGACGACGACGACGACGAAGACGACGACGACGACGGCGGCGATCCCCCCCCCTCCATCTCCCCCGCCCGTGGGAAACCTGCGGGCGACTCTGAACTGGTGAGGCCGCGGGTTGCGCCCGGACGGCCCCCCGGAGGCAGCCCCCGCGGGCCTCGACGGGCCCCCCCGAGTGGCCCAAGCCCCCCGAGGAGGTCTATAGTAAAGGGGCCCCAGAACACACAAACAAATACACACAAATAGAAGGATCCCCCATATTTTCCTATATCTTCTGGGTTTCTGTCATCCCCCCCACTTCCCATATTTTCCAATATTTTCTGGGGAATCGAGATTTAATTGTGTCTGTGTGTTTTTTCCCCTCCTGATATAGGGCGGTCTCGGCACCCTGGCGCCGCCTCCGGCGTTGCCCCTGGGGCGCTCCGCGGCTGGGGTGCTGAGACCGCCCTGGGCTAATTACTCGGGTGGCCTTTGGCTGCTCGGGTGGCGAATGCGGGATGGCGATTGATAAAAAAGGGGAGAGAACGATTCAAAAAATAGTTGCCTGCTAGTTCTGCACAACTTTCTGACTGGAGGAGAACGATTTAAAACATAGTTTTCCAGCCCGCGGCCGGTTTTTTCTAATCGTCATCCCGGGTGCCGCCGCGTGAGCACGACCCCCGGTCATTTCTTAATCGTCATCCTCCATTACCCAGGGGGGCGGTTGAGCCCACCTGGGGCCACCTATAGGAAAGCCGTCCGTGCGCAGCCCGAAGGCCTCACCAGCTTGGGCTCCACGGCTTCCCTGAGGCCCGACGCTGCGAAAGCATCGCAACGTCGCGCAAAGACCAGAGCCCTATACACCCTGCGAAATGCTTTAGAAATCATGGGTTAAGAAATTCATAGTCTCAGACTTTGAATAACCCCCCCCGACTTCTACTAAAAAGTTAGGTTTTCCATGGAAGCCATAAGAATAATCAAGACTCTGGCCGAAACCTTACGTTTTCTTAAGCATCGCCTAGGGTTTAGACCCCATCTCTCTGCTGAATCTCTCGAGCCACATCCATCGAGGATGGCACCGTTGCCCCACACTGGGCGACGACGCCCGGTGTGCAGAGCCATAGCAGCGCCTGGCTCTCCGGGCTTCCCTCCCCCCGCGGCGGCCCTCCTCCGGCCCCTGCACGCCCCCGCCGCCGCCGCCGCCGTCGCCGTAAGCGCCCCGGGCTGCCCCCGGGCGCCTTGGGAGGGGGCGTCTCGGCCGCCTCGCGAGGAGGCGCCCCGGCCGGGGGCCGCCGCGGCATGGCGCCGCGCGGCGCCTGCGGCGCGAATTCCGGGGAAGGGCGGCGGCGCGAGGCACGTCGGAGGGCCCTGAGCTCTGGGCGCCGCGGACCTCCAAGGCACTGAAAAGTTCAAGACCGACGCTTTTCCGTAAGTTTCGGCCTCTGGGGGCCCTCGCTGGGCCCCGGGACCGTAAAACCAAAAAACCCAGGATGAAGAAGTGGTCCCGGGGCATGGGTCGACACCTCCGGGGACCCCGTTTTGACAGAAACTAGGTATCGGATATCTTAGGCGCGAAGCACTTCGGAGGACCCCGAGATTTGGGCGTTGTAAATTTCTTCACACCGGGCATTTTCGCCCGTTTGAGGCGACCTCCCAGATGGGGCCAGAGCAGATGGGCTCAGGAGATCGCGCCACATCGCTGATGCATCGCCGACGCATCGCCGATCCATCGGCGACGCATCGGCGACGCAACGGCGATGCATCGGCGACGTCGGCCCTGAGAGCATCTGGCTCCACATCGAGCCACATTGCCGATGCATCGGCGATGCGGCGCGATCCTCCGACCACACCTGCTGCAACCCCAGCCCGCTCAGCAAAGGTCACTCCGGCGAAGGGCCACTTCTACGCGAAGTGTTCAGCGGAGAAGCAGAGGCCGCCGCCGCGGAGAACCCCATCCGGGGGGGGGGGGCCGGCCCCTGGGCAGAGGCACGCCCCCACCCGTCACCCGGAGCCAGACGACGCCCCAGCGCTCCACCGCCCAGAGGTGGGTCCCCTGCTGGGTTCTCGGTGTTTGGCGGTTTCTGGCTCTCCTCTGAAGCGTTGCAGCGCCTGGAAGATGCCCTGAAGTGGCAACTCTCGGCGAGGTCCCAGAATGCCCGTTGGTGGGTACACCGTTCGGTGCCGCTGGCTGGCCTCAGGCAGGCGGCGCAGCGCCGCGGCGTCGAGCTGAGCATCTCGGAGGGGGGCGTGGTTTCAGATCTCCGTCGATATGATGTCTGCAGCCTGTGGCGTTTCTCGTCGTCTTCGGCCTCTGGGGTCTGTTTTAGAGCTCCGGGGCCTCCGGAAACGCGACAACCGGGAGGAGAAGCCCAACCCCACGCACGGACTGCCGCGAGCCCCCCCTCCGCCAATACCACCTCGAGACAATGATCTCAGCCAACCACGAGGTCAACATGATAACACATTATTCGCTAACCGCTGCCCACTTCGACTGAGTTGTCCTTACGACCACAATCAGACAATTTTGCTTAGCGCGTCCCGGCGGCCGAAACGGCGGCACGCTATGCCCAGTGAGCGGATGGTGTATCGCTCCGCTCCGCGGGGCGGGAGGCTGGGAAAGGCTGGAGATTTTGATGCCTGGGTTCCAGGAAGTGGTGAGCGTGTCGCGCCGAATCGCGGTGAGCCAGAACCAGCGGCGCGACACGCTAAGCCGAAGTTGAAGACCGGAACCAACTCAACCCAAGCGAGCGTTCCCTTCATCGACGCAGGGTAGCCTTCACGAGCACCGCCCCACCCGACTCTCAGTGATATGCCTACCCTTCAGGGCATCAGCGGTGTGTACACGACAATCCTCCTTATCATCCTCCTTTGGTAAGGCTTCGGGTTGCGCGCCGACAACACCCCCCAGGTAGTCCTGGCTGGCCTCACCAGGCGACCCTGGCGCTACCTGGGGGCGCCAGCCCGCCTCCAGGTAGTCCAGCACACCCCGGCGCCGCATCCAGCGGCGCCCCTGGGGCGCTCCGCGTCCCAGGACTGCGGTGTCGAGGCCGCCCCACTGCTCGGGGGGGCCCGCTGAGGCCAACTGAGACTTCTCGGGGGGACTGCTGAGGCTAGCCAGGACTGTCTGGGGGTGTTGTCCGCGCGCAACCCGCAGCCTTACCAATCCTCCTTCTCGATTGCTCCTCCTCCTCCTCCTCCTCCTCCTCCTCCTCCTCCTCGCTCCGTCCCCTCCCGCCCGCGGCTGCTGTCTGGATCGAGGCGCGCGCTCGCGCGCGCGCGAGAGCGCTCGCGCGTGCGCGCTCCTTGCCGAGGCCGGCCAAAGCCTGCCGCAGCAGCGGCTCCGCCTCCTCTGCCTTTCCCAGCTCCCGCAGCGCCGCCGCCAGGTTCATGCCTCTCCCGTGCTGCAGGAGACAAGAAAACGGCGTACCCCCTTCCTCCGCCCGACATCTCCTGACGTCTCCTGAAGTCTGAGGCGATGTTGGGCGCGTCGGCCCATGCGATGTCATCCGGCAAGACGCCTCACCATAACTTTCTGTACTGGTCCATACATATGTCATGGCTGTGCCGGCCTATCCACGATTGTGGGCGCGCTGGTCCTTTGGCTGTCAGATATCACTCTGCAGAGATGCTGCACACTCCCCGCTAACATCGCTTGGCCGACAACCGGCTCTTAACATGCTGTCTTCCTGTCCCTTTCCGCCACATGGCAACCATCAACACGGATCGCCCTAGCCGTGACCAGCCGCCTCAAGACCGTCGAGACCTGCCCACCGATGTGAATGTCGTATGCGGCAGCTTGGCAGGTTACTTGTTTGGGCTTTCGGATCTGCTGGGTGCGCATATTTACTCGCCCAGCTCCTCGTCCTGCGCGGGAGATATGAAACGATCTGCTACGAGTGGCCGTGGGCGTCAGCGGTGCTGCTTGACCACGGGGTGGGTGGGGGCATGGCTTAGAGTGGCGAGGACACACTATTTCAGGGAAGTCGGCCCATCTTCGCAGGAGGCAAGGGACTCACTCCTTGAGTGCAAAGAGCACTTCTCCCGCGATGCCAACTTCTCCTATCCCTCTCTGCTGGACGCAGCCGCCTTCCTGACTCTCTTCCTTGCCCGCACGGTGGAGTTCACGTCTTCGGCCAGAAGATGCAGAGGAGGTTGAGAAGCCCTGCGGGTCTGCAGGACTCGGCCGGACTCGACGTCAATGCCCCACGAAGAACGCCCGCCTCTTCCGACTCGCCAACCCGACAGCGGCGGGCGGAAGGTACGGGCAGAGACCTCCCGTCCACCGCTCGCCCTCGGGGAGCGTCATCATGAAGCTGCGCTGTCGAAGCCTCATCCCCCCTCCCCCTCCACCTCCGCCAAACTAGAGGCCTCCTAGATGGGGTCCGTGTAGATGGGATCGGAGGATCGCGCCGCACCGCCGACGCGTCTCGGCGATGCATCGGCGACGCCAGCGTGGAGAAGATCGGGCTCCACATCAAGCCGCATCGCAGATGCGTCGGCGATGTGGCGCGACCCTCCGACCCCGTCTTTAGGTGGCCAGGCATGGGAGCCTCACGTAGTCGCACGGGCGCCTAGTTCATGATATTTCGTGCCCCCCCCTACTACAACCCATCATATTCTAGATCCCACCAAATCCCAATTGCGACCCCACTGAATCCCACTGAATCCCGCCACACCCTACGTGAGCCCCCACTAGATCCCCCTGGGCCACGTCAGACCATCGCTTGAGAGAAGCTCGCTGGGTGGAACATACGCTCCCACACTTGGTTACCTGTAGCCGTCCGCTCGGACCCCATCTGGGAGGCCTGGAAAACAAAAGGCAGCGGGGGTGCAAGCCGAACACGAGCGTCTCCGGGTGCTCCTGCCGCGGCGCGGCCGCGCGCGGGCGCTCCCCGCAGGGCACGCTTCTGGGGGCCTCCGAGGATCGCAGGAGGCCTCCGTCCCTCCACAGGGGGGATGTTCAAACAGAGTCAACCAAAAAAGCACGGGGCCTTCTTTTGATTCTGTTGGAACATCTCTTGCTTTTTCTTGAACCTGCTTCGCCAAAAGATCCCCTGTAGGGGGACAGGCCCGGCCTGAAGCTAGAGGCCCCGAAGAACAAGCCGGAAAAGGGGTGGTGGAGGGCCGGGTGGCCCCGGTCGAGGTGTCGCTTTCGATTCCGGGCCGTGTCGTGAGGGCGAGGCGAAGCTGCGCGAGGGCGATGATGTGAGGCGGGGGCCGGGCCGTGCAAAAGAAGTGCCCTCGCGCCCCGCGGCGGACTGGCGGTTGCTTCGCGGCTGTCCCAGTGGATGTCCCACGGCTGGCTCGCCGCGGTTGGGGCCGATTTGCAGATTGTCAGGTCGACTGGTAGATTCAGAGTGAGAGCGACCGACGGACATGTAGTGGGAGCAGTAGACAGTGAGATCGAAGTATAAGTTGAAGTGCAAGGCGACATGCAACTCAACATGCATAGCGAAATGCAAAGCCATGTGCAATCGAAGCGCACATCGAGATGCCAGTTCCTGAGCCCTCCCAACCTCCGTATCACCTGCATGGTGGCGTATGAAGCAAGTAGAAAGAATCGGATATTCTAGAATGGGCCTGTACGTGGCCTCCCGGGGACCTAAGCATCGACCGACTCGAACAAATCGAGCCAGAAGATTTTGCAATTTGATCTGAATCTGGGCCCCGTCTTCGGCTCCAAACAGGAAGCCCCCGTGGATCCCTCGGAGGCCTCCGAGGGGCGGGGGGGGACGCTGACGTACTTGGGAAAACGACACGGCTTGTCTCCAGGAGCAGCTTGGACCCAGGGTTCTCGTTGGAAGTCCTGGATGGAGAAGGAGGAGGAGAAAGAGAAAGATGATACATGAGGAAAATGAGGAGGACGACGGATGAGGATGAGGATGAGGAATAAGAAAACGGATAAGTGGGATGAGGATTAGGGCCAGAAAGGAGAAAAGGCTCCAGGTAGTCCTGAAAGACCCCAGGCACCAGTCCCAGGATACCCAAAGATGTTCCAGGAGGCCCCGAGATGATGACGAACATTGCGAGTAAGCCTGGTGCGAAATCAAGGGACCGCAGATGGGCACGCAGCGCAACAGAGCATATAATATGAACATACAAAAGAATCCGCCGACCCTGCCGGCGTGTGCGAGAGGCGGTTTCGCTTGACTCGTCGTCGTCGTCATTGACAGCGTCGCCGCCGCCGCTCCCCCCTTTTGCCTGGGTCCTCCTCCTCAAGCGCGCCAGCCAAACCGGAACAACCTGAGCGAAATTGAGCAACGCCGTAAGTGAGTCGAAGGGAAGGGAGCCACTTCCCTTTGATCCCTTACCTGCCTGGGGGGGTCCCGGGTGGGGGTTGGGGGTGTCCCTAGGGGGGGTCCCAGGGAGTCGTCCTGGGTCAGAATGCCACCCCCCTAGAGGCCCCTACAAGCCCCCCAAGGCGCCCCCAAGGAACCGCCAGGAAGCCCCAGGAGGCTGCTGAAAGGCTCCATAGACACCTCGAAATTTTCGTGGGGGTTCTAGGGCACACCTTGGAGGGCCTCGTGCAGCCTCTTAAGCACTCTTGGGAGCGTCTGATCCCGAACTTCCCGAATGCATGTTCTGTCGTGGGGGTCGTCGTCCGGGGTCGGCGGCACTGGCCGTAAGGCCTGAGCAATATCAAACAATGCCACACCATGGTTTCAGGTCATTGTTTTATGTGTGACTTACATGCCTTACCAGGTTTGCGGGCCCCTCAAGCCCTCAAACTTTCAACATCGCGTGTTGCCCCACATCCGCTTCCTCCGCAACCTCCTCTCTATAGTGGTGCGCGCGCTGGTTCCTCGATAGAGAAAGCAAGGTGGTGGAAAGAGAGATAGAGAGAGACAGAGAGACAGAAAAAGAGAGAGAGAGAGAGAACGAGGGAGAGAAAGAGGGATACACATATACATATATATATATATATACATAGAGCGAGAGAGATTGTGTGTGTGTGTGCGACCGACTGACCGAATGCTTGCGTGTGCATATATATATATATATATATATATATATATATCCAGAGAGAGATTACAAACAATGGGCTCCAACCTGGTAACCTTTTCCCCTCGTCCTTCTCTCATGCCAATCCTTCCCTCCTCATCCTCACGCTCATATCCGCTGATCTCCTCTCATCTCCTCTCCTCTCCGCTCCGCTCCGTTCCACTCCGCTACGCTCCGCTGCTCTCCTCTCCTCTCCTCTCCTCTCCTTTCCTCTCCCCTCCTCTCCTCTCCCATCATCTTCCTCATCCTCCTAGCGCTCCCTCCCCTCCTCCTCGACTGCGGGCGACGACGACGAGGTCCAGGACGAAGCGGGCGATGACAACGGTCACGCAGACGACGATAAAGAGAAGGACTACGACGACGACCTCGAGAACGACGGGAGCAAAGCCCCGACCCTGAAAGGAGGCCAACGCTGCAGCGAGAACACCACAACGACACACCGCACATGTTCCGCTCGAGCAACGGCCGCATGAAAAACCAACTGCTTTTGAATCATGTGTGCAAGCAGTGCGCGGAGAGGGCCGAACATCTTGCGGACAGAGTCAGGGAAGAGAGGAGAATCGTACTCATGTGCAATTGTAGAGGACCCTGGGATCCGACGTCGCTAACAAGTATCCCGGCAAATCAACCTAACAGCGATGTGTAGGAGCATATCTGGAAGCATTCCCCTTAAGATTCACATGAGAATCCAGTTGTAGAATTCTGCTGTTCTCGCAGTCGCAGTCGCAGTCGCGATGAAAGTCGCAGCGGCAACGGCAGTGGCAGTCACAGCCTCAGCCTCAGCCTGCCTCAGCCTCAGCCTCAGCCTGCCTCAGCCTCAGCCTCAGCCTGCTTCAGCCTCAGCCTCAGTCTGCCTTCAGCCTCGGCCTCAGCCTCAGCCTGCCTCAGCCTCAGCCTGCATCAGCCTCAGCCTCAGCCTCAGCCTGCCTCAGCCTCAGCCTCAGCCTGCCTCAGCCTCAGCCTGCCTCAGCCTCAGCCTCAGCCTGCTTCAGCCTCAGCCTCAGTCTGCCTTCAGCCTCGGCCTCAGCCTCAGCCTGCCTCAGCCTCAGCCTGCATCAGCCTCAGCCTCAGCCTCAGCCAGCCTGCCTCAGCCTCAGCCTCAGCCTCAGCCTCAGCCTCAGCCTCAGTCTCAGCCTCAGCCTCAGTCTGCCTTCAGCCTCGGCCTCAGCCTGCAGCCTCAGCCTGCATCAGCCTCAGCCTCAGCCTGCCTCAGCATCAGCCTGCCTCAGCCTCAGCCTCAGCCTGCCTCAGCCTCAGCCTCAGCCTGCTTCAGCCTCGGCCTCAGTCTGCCTTCAGCCTCGGCCTCAGCCTCAGCCTGCCTCAGCCTCAGCCTGCATCAGCCTGAGCCTCAGCCTCAGCCTGCCTCAGCATCAGCCTGCCTCAGCCTCAGCCTCAGCCTGCCTCAGCCTCAGCCTCAGCCTGCTTCAGCCTCGCCTCAGTCTGCCTTCAGCCTCGGCCTCAGCCTCAGCCTGCCTCAGCCTCAGCCTGCATCAGCCTCAGCCTCAGCCTCAGCCTGCCTCAGCATCTGCTTCAGCCTCAGCCTGCAGCCTCAGCCTCAGCCTGCTTCAGCCTGAGCCTCAGTCTGCCTTCAGCCTCGGCCTCAGCCTCAGCCTGCCTCAGCCTCAGCCTGCCTCAGCCTCAGCCTCAGCCTGCCTCAGCATTCAAAATGTGGCCCGGGAATGGAGTTCTGGGAACTCGAAGAACACGAAGTGGCCTGCAGTTGGCTCCGGGCATTCAAAATCATGCCCAGGAATGGAGTTCTGGGAACTCGAAGACCACGAAGTGGCCTACAGTTGGCTCCGGGCATTCAAAATCATGCCCAGGAGTTGAATTTTGGGAACTCGAAGAACACGAAGTGGCCTACAGTGGGCTCCGGGCATTCAAAATGTGGCCCAGGAATGGAGTTCTGGGAACTCGAAGACCACGAAGTAGCCTACAGTTGGCTCCGGGCATTCAGAATGTGGCCCGGGAATGGAATTCTGGGAACTCGAAGAGCACGAAGTAGCCTACAGTTGGCTCCGGGCATTCAAAATGTGGCCCGGGAATGGAGTTCTGGAAACTCGAAGAACACGAAGTGGCCTGCAGCTGGTTCCGGGCATTCAAAATCATACACAGGAATGGAGTTCTGGGAACTCGAAGACCACGAAGTGGCCTACAGTTGGCTCCGGGCATTCAAAATCATGCCCAGGAATGGAGTTTTGGGAACTCGAAGAGCACGAAGTGTGTGACTGTTTGCTGAAAACGAGCCCGGTTCTCGCCTGTCCGGCTCCCGCCCAGACCCCCCTGGGGAGTCATCAGATGCTCTCTTTTGGCCCCATTAAAAACCTATCAGTCTTCGCTGTTAAGTAAAAATCCAACATCAAACAACATCACGGCGGGAGTTTCTGACCCAACCTTTCTGCTGCGTAATCCTGCGAGCCGGCTCGATCTGTAAGGACCCCGAGGCGCAAAACTGCGCGCGAACCCCCTGGTGAGACAATCGAAGCGCCGGGTCTGAGGGGAGGAGGAGGACGACGAAGACAAGGAGCGCCCCACCCCCGGGATGGGGGGGGGAGGAGGGAGGGAGGAGGAGGAGGAGGAGGAGGAGGAGAGGAGGAGGAGGAGGAGGAAGAGGAGGAGGAGGAGGAGGAGGAGGAGGAGGAGGAAGAGGAGGAGGAGGAGGAGGAGGAGGGGGAGGAGGAGGGAGGAGGAGGAGGTGGAGGAGCAGGAAGAGGAGGAGGCGGAGGAGGAGGAGGAGGAGGAGGAGGAGAAGGAGGGGGAGGAGGAGAACGGGAAGGAGGAGGAGGAGAAGGAGGAGGAGGAGGAGGTGGAGGAGGAGGAGGAGGAAAAGGAGGAGCAGGAGGAGGAGGAGAAGAGGAGGAGGAGAGGAGAAGGAGGGGAGAGGAGAGAACGGGAGGAGGAGGAGAAGAGGAGGAGGAGGAGGAGGTGGAGGAGAAGGAGGAGGAGGAGGAGGAAAGGAGAAGGAGGAGGAGGAGGAGGAAGAGCAGGAGGAGAGGAGGAGGAGGAACAGGAGGAGGAGAACGAGGAAGAGGAGGAGGAGGAGGAGGAGGAGGAGGAGGAGGAGGAGGAGGAGGAGGAGGAGGAGGAGGAGGAGGGGAGGAGGAGGAGGAGGAGGAGAAGGAGGAGGAGGACGACGGCGAAGACACGGAGCGCCTCCCCCGCCCCCCCCCCCCACTGCCGGGGGCGGGCCGCAGGGCCCGCAGCGGTGGCGCGGCGTCCTCGCCCCGCACCGCGCAGCTGCCGCGCCACGCGCGGCGCGCCAGCGGCTCGGCCTGCGGACCCCCCCCGCCCGCCGCCGCCCGATGTCCGAGGGGCGACGTCGGGGGGGGGGGACGAGGCTCGAGGTTCGAGGACGCTTTCGAGGTGCAAGGCCCGAGGTTTGAGTCGGGCGTGTCCCCCATACAGGGGGATTTTCGACGAAAAATAAAGCATGCCAGCAACCATAACCAAAACATGATCCAAACATAGCCTGGGACTATTTTTTGAATCTGCTTTGACCTTTTTTCTGGGGTATTTTTAAAAAGTATGTTTATTTTTCGTCGAAAATCACCCTGTAGGGGGACAGGCCCGACTTGACCCGAGGTTCGAGGTTTTCGGACGTTTTCGGCCGACTTCTTGGGTTCCCGGCGGCTTTCCGGCCTCGGGCGCCCGGGCTCGCCCCGAGCGGCCGCCGGAGGCCCGAGCCGTGGAGCGGCAGTCCCCCGAAGGGACTTGTTCCGGGGGGGGGGAAACCCCGACGCGGAATCGGCGACCCGCCGCCGCTGGATCGGCGCTGGGCCCCCGATGCCGAATCCGCACGTGCCCGGGCAGGAGGGGCCGGGGCGGGCCTATCACGCTCTCGTCGGCGACGAGTGGACAGCTGGGGGGGGGGGGGGGATGCCTCCCCCCCCCCCGGAGCCTCTCCCTCCCGCCGCTGCCCCTGCCCTCTGGGCGCCCTCGCCCGTGTCTTTGGAGGCAGCTCCTGTGAAGGTCGTCGCAAGAGCGACTGACCCTCAGGTCTGGGCTCGCAATTCTTTCACACTGGGCGTTTGCGGCCGGGTTCGGGCCCCGGGACCCTCACGGATCGATCCAGATTGAAAAAATGCATCAGACAATGCGGTCTTGGGCTCCGGTCGTACTTTTGTTCACTAGGTTCAAAGTCGGATCTTCAGGAAACCCGCTTCGGGGGGCGTGCAGCCGAATTTGCCCTGATTGGGCCCCGGATTGCGCCAGATACGAGGCCGATGTGGCATCACAGCAGCAATTCGGCCCCTGGCTTTCGTCCTGGGCTCGGTTTAGTGAAGTGATGAATTTCGGGGTCCTTACGTGGGGAAAAACATCACTTCACTAATCTGGGGCCCCTGGGGCCTCAGTGGGCCCTGGGGCCCAAAATTAGTGAAGTGATGGTTTTCGGGCCTCGGACCAAATGAAGCCGGATGAAGGGAATGAAGCGGGGCGGCACTCTGCCTGATGAGGCCGGAGTTCGACCACGGATGCACCAGCGCCGATGCTGGCTGCAACCTCTCAGGAACTGCACCCGACGGCGTCGTCTCTCCGTCGTCGCCGTCCTCGTCGTCGCGCGTCGTGAGGGCAACGGATGGCCAAGATCTCCGACGGCATGCCTCCTCCAATCCCCGCGTGTTTTTTTTTTCTTTTCTCCGAGGACTGCGGCCCTCGGGGGCCGCGCTCGTCAAGTCCTTGGGACCCTCAGCCGCGGGTCCGGGGCGGAAGGCTGCCCCATATAGGGGGGGGGCGGGCGGGGCCTCTTGTTACCAGCCTGGAACATATCCCTATCCCTATGCTGGGCACCTCCTCATCACGATGCCAATCCTAGGGATTCCCTTACTTTTTTGAGGGCGGATCCCCAAGATTGTCAACGCCTTTTGGCGCGTCAATCTTAGGGATAGGGATACGCTCGAGGCTGGTAATTATTTGTTATTCTTCTCCTCCGAGGACTGCGGCCCTCGGGGGCCGCGTTCGTCAAGTCCCTGGGGCCCTCAGCCGCGGGTCTCAGGGCGGAAGGCTGCCCCATATAGGGGGGGGGTGGGGCGGACCGGGCCTCCTGGGCCCGCGGAGTTGAGACACAAGTCGGGTCGGCGAGTGTCAGGGGGCGGGGCCAGGAGCGAGACCGCGCTGACGGGGGGGGAGGAGGAGGAGGAGGAGGAGGAGGAGGAGGGAGGAGGAGGAGGAGGAGGAGGAGGAGGAGGAGGAGGAGGAGGAGGAGGAGGAGGAGGAGGAGGAGGAGGAGGAGGGAGAAGGGGAGGAGGAGGAGGAGGAGGAGGAGGAGGAGGAGGAGGAGGAGGAGGAGGAGGAGGGAGGAGGGAGGAGGAGGAAGAGCAGGAGGAAGAGGAGGAGGAACAGGAGGAGGAGAACGAGGAAGAGGAGGAGGAGGAGGAGGAGGAGGAGGAGGAGGAGGAGGAGAAGGAGGAGGAGGAGGAGGAGGAGGAAGAGGAGGAGGAGAGAGGGAGGAGGAGGAGGAGGAGGAGGAGGAGGAGGAGCCTCGTGGGCTTTGGGAGTCCCGAGACGGCGCGGCGAGGAACCGGGCAGTGACCCCGGGATGTCCCTGGCCAGGCAAGGTTGGCACTCAAGGCCCCCCCCCCCCCAGACGGGGCGCCGCGGCCGCCCCAGAGCGCTCCTGGAGGAGGGGCAAGAAGCAGCTTGGGTCGGAGCGGCTGCGGAGGGAAAAGGGGAGGAGGAGGAGGAGGAGGAGGAGGAGGAGGAGGAGGAGGAGGAGGAAGAGGAGGAGGAGGAGGAGGAGGCGGAGGAGGAGGAGGAGGAGGAGGAGGACAAGGAGGAGGAGGGGGAGGAGGATGGAAAGGGGGAGGAGGCGGAGGAGGAGGAGGAGGAGGAGGAGGGAAAGGGGGAGGAGGGGGAGGAGGAGGAAGACCAGGAGGAGGAGGAGGAGGAGGGCCAGTGCAAACCCACGGCTCATCAACGCTGTTTGTTTGTTGCCTTTATTTTGTTTTGTTTTCTTTTTATGTTTCTTTGAGCGGCCAGATTTCGCGCTCCGGGTGCGAATCTGGTCTGTGGGCAAAGCCGGTGGCCGCAGCTCCCGTCTCAAAGAGCACAGATAAGAGGTGCCCGGCCTTCGATGATGCAACCAACCCTCCCTCCAATCAAAGTCCCTCTTCACAAGTCCCTGCAACGATTCACTGTCACTGTGGGAAGTGCCCCGTTGGACGACAGCCGTCTGAAAATCTTGAACCGTGCCAGAACACCGTTCCTGGGACTTCAGCGCCGCGAATCAAAGTTACTGTTGCGTCCTTGCGATCGTGAGCCGTGCCAGAACACCATCCCTGCGACTTCAACACCACAAGTCAACATACTTCTTGCGCCCTCACAACAATATACATCGTGCCAAAATGCAATTACTGAGACCAGCCATCGGCATCCGTGAAACTGCTTTACACTCTTAAGACGAATGTGCGCGGCGCTCAAACGAAAAGCACCTTTTGAAAAGGTACCGCTTTCAGTATGTGACACTCCGACGAACTCTTAAATCGAATGTGTGCGGCACTAATACGTGAACCATATGTTAGAAAACCACCCGCTCTCAATCCAAGAATCTCCTTGGACACGCTTGAACCGACTATGCGCGTCGCTGCAGCGAGAGCCACATTTTGAAAACAGCCCGCCCTTCTGGATGGAAGCGGCGCGCCCTCCGCCCGTGCAGCTCTTGCGCAACTGTTTTGGTCGGGTGCGCGCGGCGCTGCCGCGAGAGAACCGCATTTTGAAAACGGCCCGCACACCATCCGCGAATCTGTTGCACACTCTCCTCGCCATCGCTCGGACGTCCATTCCCTGTGCTTTTTTGGTTTCGTGCGTGTTTTTTTTTAGCCAAATGATCCAGGATGCTCCTCGATGGTCCTCGCCGAAGGGGAAAAATGCACACGTCCGAGCGATGCCAGGCTCTCAGTTCATGGCTCATACGTGGTGGGCGACACTCCGGGCCCGCCCCGCCGACACGCCTCAGGGTGCGACGCAGGGTGGCAGCAGAGGCAAGGGGAGGAGGATAGGGAGGCAAGGGGGGGGGGAGAGGGACAGGCCCAGCTTCAACAGTCCCCCTCCCCCGCCTCCTCGACGCGCCCCTGGCACTTCAGCAGCATGCCTTGGCGGCGCGCCAAGGGGGGGACGGGACGAGTCGAGGGGAGCAGCCTTCCAAGAAGGCAGAGGGGCTCCTTGAGAGGCATTGGGGGCTTCCGAGAAGGCCTCCCGAAGGCGGGCGGGCTCGTCACGGAGCGCAGGAAGCCGCTCCAATCACACCTTCGCCACATCCAGATCCGCTCAAAACCAATACCCGCACTCGGACCCCTCCTGGGGTCCAACCTGGCCGAATTTCCAAACCGCGTCCCGTCCTGGCGACCAGGGGGCGGGCCTGAGGGCAAACAAAAAGTAGGAGTCCGGCGGCAGACCTTCCCGAAACATGGGCCCTCGATCTCTTTCCCGGGGCCGGCTTGTCGTCCTGAGTCACTTTTTGGGCGCCCTGGGGGGCCGAAGCTGGCCCACTCACCTCCTGAGCGGCGAAAGCAATGCTGTCTCGATGTTCTGCGAGCCGCCAGACGTCTGGGTTGCTCCCTTCTACACGCCGCCGAGTGCCCATGTTGGACGCCGCGATCAGCACCTCCGGGTCCTCCGGCCCGAGCGCGAGCTCCAGGCCGGCGAGCGCCCTGCGGAGGTGGGGCTCTGCCTCCGCCAGCTCCCCCGCGTTGCTGAGCAGACGGCCCAGGTGGTCAGCGCAGACGAGCGTGCCTCGGAGGTGCGCCAGGAGGAGCGAGGCAAAGGTGAGGGGGGAACGATGGCAGGGGACGAGCTCAGGAGAGGAAGCGTCGGCCTGGAATCGGCAATGCCTCGCCAAAGCAGATCCGCGATAGGCCCGGGATAGCCGAACCCGCAGGGTCCTGGGCGGGGTGGGCCATCGGGCCCTCGTCGGCGATTCATGCGCACCTGGGTCGGGGGCGCGCAAGCATGGGTCAGCGGCCGGTGCCAGTGCCGCCGGCTCGGCGGCGGAAATCCGCGATTTCCCATGGAGACGGGACCCGTCGCGAATCCACGCCCCCTTGATCCACGTTTCCGATCGCCTGATCAATGGGCACTTGGGGGTCTCGGCGGTGGACAAACCTCTATTTCGTAAACCACTCAATCGCCTGATCAATGGGCACTCGGGGGTCTCGGCGGTGGACAACCCTCCCTTTAGCAAACCACCCTTTAATGGAAACGGCCTTGGACCGAAACCGACGCACCTGGACCCGCAGAAATGACGGCCCCGACGCCCTCTCGCGAACCGAAAACAGCCAATTCCTTGATCGACGCGTCAGGGTGGGAGGTCTATCAACCTCCGAGGCACTTGGGGGCCGATGCTGTCCTCTCCCCGGAGCCCGTCTCCCCCTGGCGCTGCACTTCCGCAGGGGGGCGGCCTTCCAAAGGATGCAGGCGGGGCCTCTCGGAGGCCTCGCGGAGGGCCTCCTGTGCGGGGCGGGGGCTCATCCATATCCGCCGCTCGGAAAGGCGACGTCATGGGACCCCAGAGGGAAGGGAGCATGGCTATACATAAGTCTCTCCCTCTCTATAAATCTATATGTATATATATACAAATGTATATATATATATATCGTTTCTATGTATATGTATATATATATAGATATGGGCCCCTGGGGCCCGAACGCTTCCATCCGACGAGGTCCCCAAAGATCGATCTCCCAGGCGGTGGCCATGGATTTTTGTTCCCGCGGGCGATGACCACCGACCACGTGCAGAGCTGATGAGACCACGGCGCTGTGTGGGCACACCAGATTTCGTAATAAAAGCGAGGGGGTCTGGACCCTCCAAGAAAAGCCATTTCAGACCTCCCCCGTGGGAGAACCCTCCAAAACATCGTCCCCAGACCCCCCAGGCCCTCCAAGATAGCCTGGAAGAGACCCCCCCCGAAATGAGACCCCCCTCCCTTTATTATGAAATCTGGAGTACTCCTTTGGCCTAGTCAGCCAAACATGCAACTCTCTCACACACACACAGCGGCGGCAAGACCTTTGACGAAGGATTCACGGCCGTGGCGGTGGCCCTGGACAAGATAGGGAAACGAGCTCTATACACCGACGCGTTTTCTGACCCTGCGCTGACATTCGCACATGAACGCAGATCCTGGTGTATACGGGATCTTGGTGTATACATGTTTCGTTGCCTCCCTTGGAAAACTGGGGAGAAGTATACACCACACCACCCCGACGTCGTCCCCGACCCTCAAGAAGTCGTGGGACTGAACCCAAACCTGCCACTGGTAATGCATATGTTCCAGTCTCCGACAACATACCAACTTCGGCTGCACGTAAGAGTGACCCTGGGCAAGAGTGACCTTTGGTGCGCGGCTTTTGGGGGGCCGCGGGGGGGACCAAACCTGGGCGCGCAAGCCGCTGCTCCTGCTTCGTTTCCAGCCATCTGGGGACCCATCTGTGCCCGCACCAAAAGTCACTCCGGCGAAAGGTCACTCTTACGTCTAGTCGATCCGACAACATGCCAACTCCTCGCCTCGGATGCCCCGGGAGCGCGCGGGGTGGGGCTCCACGAGAGGAGGCCCGCTGCCCGCCAGTAGGCGGCCATCCCCCCCCGCGGGAAGGGGGCCAGCTGCGCCCCGACGGAGCGCGCCAGTACCAGAGACCGAGCACTCCCGACGGGATGCTTTACCGGGCACGCCCGACGGGCTGCGTTTGTTCGCCGCACGCCGCCATGGCGGCCTTCTGTTCTTCGGAGGGCGACGAGGGATCGAGGGCGACGAGGGCTCGAGGGCGAGGGATCGTTACGACGGCTTTCTGCTTCTCGGAGGGATCGAGGGATCGAGGGAGAGGAGGAGGAGCACGAGGGCGGGGGGGGAGGCAGCGACGAGCCCAAGGGCGCAGCAGCGGCAAAGCGGGAGGACACTCCTGACAGGGTGCAAATCCGTGCGGCCTCGCTCCGCACGGACCGCCCCGATACGCAACACGCAACATGTATCGTATTGATACGGCGCCCCGCACGCAGGCTGAAACCGCAGGCCCGACGCGATACATTCAATTCGCCAAAGCGTGGTCTGATACGTGGAGCCAGCACGCAACGCATTGACACGGACGTCCTGAACACGGGACGCGTTGCGTTTCAGAACGCGCGCATCGGGGCAGCTGCGCGTACGCATCTGCACCCCAGCAGGAAGGGCCAAAAAGCCTCGACCGGAGTGCCGCCGTGGCCCTGCCAGGAGAGGCGCCGAGCTCCAGGAACGCAAGGGGGGGGGCCTCCCGGCCTTGGCGGGCCTCCTCCGCGGCCGCGGAGGAGTAGGAGGAGAGGGAGGAGGAGGAGGAGGAGGAGGAGGAGGCGGAGGAGGAGGAGGAGGAGGAGGAGGAAGAGGAGGAGGAGGAGGAGGAGGAGGAGGAGGAGAAGGAGGAAGAGGAGGAGAAGAAGGAGGAGAAGGAGGAGGAGGAGGAGGAGCGCCTCCGACCATCCCCCTCTCACCCTGCCCCGAAAGAACTGGCGAGAGAGGAGCAGCCAGATGTCCCCTCCGTCTCGGAAGCCCAGCGGTTGCGTGCGAGGCGCCAGCAGTAGGGCCTGCTCAGCTGCCTCTGACGAGCGAGCGAAGGGGGGCCCTGCGTGCGTGTTGTCGAACAGGGGGTCCCCGCTCGAACGGGCGCCTCCCCCGGGTTCCGACAGCCCGCACCCATACCCCTAGCCAGTCCTTCCCCTCCGATCCTCCTATGGTGTGGGTGTGTGTGTGTGTGTTCGTTCGTTCGTCATCTTCTGAGCCAAGCAGCTTCTAGGTTCTAGGCCTCCTGGATGGGGTCGGAGTAGGTGGGGTCGGAGGCTCGCGCCATATCCCCGACACATCGGCGATGCACCAGCGATGCATCGCCCACGTGGGCGACGCATCGGCGACGTCGGCATGAAGTAAATCGGGCTCCGCATCGAGACGCATCGGCGATGCATCGGCGATGCGTCTCCCTCCTCCGACCTCATCTACTCCGACCCCATGTAGGAGGCATAGAGCTTCTGAGAAAAGAAGCTACTGAGCAGTCCTTCCCCCTCCGATCCTCCTACGGTATGTGTGTGTGTGTTGTGTGTGTGTGTGTTTGTGTGGTGTGTTGTGCTGTGTCGTGTCGTGTTGCGTTGTGTTGCGTTGTGTCGTGTCGTGTTGAGCTGTGTTGTGTGTGTGTTGTTCGTTGGTGATCTTCTGAGCTAAGCAGCTTCTGAGCCACGCGGCTGCTGAGCAGACGAGGCGCCTCCGGCCCTGCCCCCCTCCGTGCGCGCCGCCGCCGGGCGCCTACGCTCTCGGAGCCCCAGGCGGCCTCCGCGCTCTGCAGCGCCAGCGCCGCCAGCAGCAGCGCCGGCTCCCCGGAGAACTCGTTCTCCGGAGGAGGAAGAGATGGCAGGGAACGCCCAATAAGGAAGGCTCGATAGCAGGAGGGAGCGCTCAGTAACGAGCGCTCAAGAACGAGCGCTCAATAATGGCAGGCTGCAGCGAGGAGGAGCGCTAAAAACAACGAACTGTTGTTCCAGCGCTAGCGCCAAATACGCAGGGTCGTTCCTCTGGCCCTCCTCGTGCACCCAAGCGCTGGTGGGGCCAAAGAGGGGCTCCGCTCGTCGTTCAGCGTTCGAATGGGGAACGCTGAATGACGAGCGGAGCCCCTCTATGGCCCCACGAATTCCTGGGCGCACGGGGCCAGAGGAACGACCAGGGAATGCCCCCAAAAAGCAGCGAGCCCCTCCTGAACCAGGAGAGCCCAGAATCGAATCGAGAAGTCGGATCGGCGATCGAGAGAACTCGGCCCGGCGGGAGTCGGCAGCCGAGTCGGGAAGAGCCGAGTCGGCGAAAAGTCGGCAGACCTGTGGGGCCTCCGGGGAAGGGTCGGAGCCCAGATCGGAGCCCGAGGTCCACTCGAATCGGAGTCGGAATCCCTGGAAATCGAGTCGAATCGAAATCGGAGGGAGATCCAAAGGAGTCCCGCGGAGCCCAGACCAGTACCGAAATTCCAGCGTCGCTCGGAGCTCCGCGCGGCCTGCTGGAGCCCCCGCGCGGAGCTCCCCGGGGTCGGCTGCGGACCCGCCTCCACATGGCGCGCGGAGAGCTCCTGGAGGAGGAGGAGGAGGAGGAGGAGGAGGAGGAGGAGGAGGAGGAGGAGGAGGAGGAGGAGGAGGAGGGGCGGCGCCCCAAAGCGCCGACGGGGGGCGCCCAGGCGTAGGTCCGAGAGGGTCCGTGCGAAGCTCCGGCAATGCCACCCAGCCCTCCGGGCGTGGGTGGTCCGAGGAGCTTCCTCTTCCAGCCCCCCTTCTTCCCCTGCTGGGGGATGGGTTTGCCCTTCCCCCCTGCTCTCCCTCCCCTGGACCTGGACGGGGCGCCCCGCGAGATGGCAGAGGGCACTTGTTCGCCCAAGATGGCTCCAGGAGGGCCTCAGAGAGCCCAACATGACCTCCAAGAGATGGCTCGAGATGGCCCGAGAGATCCGCGCGGTGCTCCAGCAATTTGTTATGTTTATGCTGCCGTTTCTGCCTCGGGCCTTGCAGATGGAGCAGGTCAGCTGCGTCCACTGCTGGCGGGCGAGGAACTCGGTGCGCAGGCAGGAGAGGTGGACCCAGCGGAGGCTGCCGCGGCAGGGGCACGGACTGCACACGCCCTCGCCCCCGGGGCCCGACAGGCAGATGCGGCAGGCAGTCCCAGGGGCGGGGGCTTCGGCGCCCTCTCAGGAAGGCGCCAAACGTACACACACACACACTCACACACTCACTCTCTCTCACACACACAGACACACACAAACACACAAACACACACACACACACACACACACACACACACACACACACACACACACACACACACACACACACACACACACACACACACACACACACACACACACACACACACACACACACACACACACACACACACACACACACCACACACACACACACACACACACACACACACACACACACACACACACACACACACACACACACACAAACACAACACACACACACACACACACACACACACACACACACACACACACACACCACACACACACACACACACACACACACACACACACACACACACACACACACACACACACACACACACACACACACACACACACACACACACACACACACACACACACACACACACACACACACACACACACCACACACACACACACACACACACACACACACACACACACACACACACACACACACACACACACACACACACACTCACACACACACACACACACACAAAAAAAAAACACACACACGCAAACCCGCACACACATACGCAAAAGCACATGCACGCGCACACGCGCATGCACATGCACGCGCATACGCACAAGTACCCTCCCACCACACACACACACACCTACACAAATATCAGAGTGAGAGGGTATCAGAGTGAGGGGGCCCGAACGGTCATTATTTGTCCCTGCGCGCGCGTAGCCGGATGGAGGGCACGGCCTCTGGGGGCCACACTTGGGGGCTACACTTGGGGGCCACACTTGGGGGCTACACTTGGGGGCTACACTTGGGGGCTTCACATGGGGGCTACACTTGGGGGCTACACATGGGGGCTACACTTGGGGGCTACACTTGGGGGCTACACTTGGGGGCTACACATGGGGGTTCTGGGGGGACGGGGAAAGGGACAACTAATCCGTAGTCATCGCTGCCCAAGCGGCTTCTTCCTGCACCATGGCACCCAAAGCGAAGGCTATGGCGAAGGCTAAACCGAAAACTGACTGGATGTATCGCGTGCAGAATCTCCCCCGGGGTTCTGGCGGCCTCGCTGGACACAATGCTTAGCCCGCCCTGGATCATTTCATGCCTGTCCTTGCTGCGGTGCGCCTGTACGACTCCCAGATGACTACGTACAAGGCAACGTCGTCAATTAGGTGCCCGATGCGGGTCCACACCCCTGGCGGCAACTGCCGTTATGGTTGCGATTTCAAGACGAAGCCGCATTGCTGGCGACAACGTCCGGTGGTGCCTGCAGAGCGCGCTGCTGCCCGGGACAAGGCGGTGCGAGATGTTCTTGTCGCCATGGAGGTGCAGATCCGGGCTGGCGAGGCCAGCGAAGCAGGGCTCTCGGGGCGCGTGCGCATCGAGGCAGCTTTGCGCGTCCCGCTGGCTGGAGACGTGGCGCAGGCTTACGTGGCGCATGTGCACGCAGGCCCGTGATTCCTGCTGGATCCCTTGAAAAAGACTACCGACACCTGCTGCTCGCCCCTCTTCCCTGCTGTGCGCCCTCTTCCTCCACCCTCGCCCTGCTGCTCCTTCTGCTTTCTCTGACAGCGCGCGCCCGCGCGCAAAGCTTCGCCCGCCGCCTCCGCCCCCCCCTCACTCTTATCCGCGACTGCGGGGTGCTACGCACACAGAACATACAACACACAACACACACACACACAACACACACAGCACGCACCAGTAATTCACATAAGACACTAGATGCACTAACGCACACACACACACACTCATCCGTAGCCATTTTGGCTCAAGGCACAGCGTCACTCGACGACCGCGAGCCCGAGAGGACGTTCTGATCGCGAGGGGTCGCGCTTTCAGCCAGAATCGAGGACAACGATGCCATTATTTCTCATTGTTGTCTTCTTCAGCGGGGCTGTCTCAGAGAGTGCTCTCGCTCGTCCTGGCGCAGCACGGGAGCAATGGTGCCGACGCCCGCGCCATGGCGAACGGTGGGCAAGCCCAAGGGGTATCGCAACAGATGCACCCACCGCACCACGGAAACAAGGTGGCGTGCGCAGGTGCGTGCCGTCGTCCCGAGCCCGTGGCCTTCCTGTGCAGTGTGGAGCCCAGGGAGAGCTGTCGGTGCCCAGGGGCGGCAAGGCTGAGGATGCGCTCCGAGGAGGAGCCAAGGCTGGCGGCAAGCTGGCGGACCTGTAGCGCAAGCTCGCGGATGCGGAGAAGAGGTGCCAGCTGCTGTATGCAGCGTCCAGGTCAGCGGCGACGGGCGCTGACGTGGCTCCCATGGTCCCCGCTACGGCAGCTGCTGTTGTGCCTCCCTCAGCATAGCAAGCTCGGCGCGTTCGGGTCGACGAGGTCGCCGCGCAGACGCAGACCGACGACCTTCACACACGAGCATCCCAGACGTGGCCGCTACTGTCCAGCGGCTCGCGGCAGAGCGTGACAGGTTCCAAGTGAAGGCTCGGCTGGCCAAGCCGTTTTCCACAGGGCGACCAGCGCGGTCACCAAAGCGGCAGATGCTCTCGACGCCAAGCAGCTGCAATTGGCGGGGCTGCAGATGGACCTCGACCAGTCCACTTCAACGCTGGCTGCCAATTGAGCAGGGACCAATTGTCCCAGCATTCCTATAGGCCTGCCACGACATGTTCTTAGAACCCAGAAATGTTATGAGAACAATGTTCTTAGCACAGAACCCGATGCGTTTAAACAAAACAGACCCAGCCAGAACTGTTCTACGAACATCTCGTGCAGACCACACGGGGTTCTTAGAACATTATTTGGTGGGCCTATAGGCGAGCTTGAACGCTTCGCCACTGCTCGAGCCAAAGAGATCACGCCCATGGAGCTCACGCAGGCGCGCACCGAGCTGCTGCGGTCGCAGGCGCCTGAGACCCCGCAGGCCGCGGCCGCGCTCAGCGCGCCTGGCTGCTCGTTCGGCGTCACGGTGCAGCAGCTGGGAACGCACCTGGACTTGCTGGGCGCTGGTGCCGGGGGCGTTCTCCGTGCTGAGCTCGAAGGCACGTTCGGCAATATCCGTGGCCTGGGGCAGCGGCAGGGGGCGGAGAAGCTGGCCGCAGCGCCTGCGGAGGCTGGCGCCAGTGCGCCTGCGCAAGCTGGTGGTGCTGCGCCGCCTGCAGCACCCGAGGCTGTTCGGCTCCCGCCCTCTGCTGAGGCGGAGGCAGCCAGGTCGCACCCGGCTAGGGCGGAGGGTGGCCCCGACCTCGGCACGGCAACGGAGGACGAGATGCAGGGAGACCTGGAGGAAGGCAGCTTGCCTCCTGCTGGGCGTGCTGGTGCTGAGCGGGCAGCAGCGACACGCGAGGTTTGCAAGCGACACGCTGCCGCCTGCAGTCAGTGCTTGGTCAAGCGCGGCGGGGCTGCATGAAGCTTCGCCTCCTCCTGCTGCCTGCACTGCCGCCGCCTCGAACGATGCGTCGGGTCGGGAGGCGGAAGTGGACCACCTCGGACCCGTCCTGGTTGTCTGTGGGCAGGCTGTGTTGTGCAGAAGGCGTGGGTTGTATGCCACCCGTGGGGCTCGAAGCAAGTCTGCCCTGGGCCCATCCCCCCGCATGCGCTGCATACGCGACGGTCTTCTGAGTGGTTTGCCGACCGTGCGGCAGGCCGCCAACCCTGGCGCGGCTCGCGTCGGCCCCGAGGGGCCTGCGTGCGTTTGGCCCTCCGCCTGCTGGTATCGGGCGGCCTTTTTGCGGCCTCGGGCCCCAGGGCCGCGCTGGGTTGGTGGCTGCGACGGGCGAGGCTGTCCTACTGCTGGGCCGAAGCACCTCGTGGTTCTGGGAGCGCCCTCTGTGTGGGGGGGGACATTTTCTTGGGTGGACCTGTCGGTCCTCATGCTGGAGCTGTACTTTTCCCTGTAAAGTGTCTCCTGAGTGGATCTGTGTAGGTCCTTTGGGTCATGCCTCTGTGGCATGCAGTCCAGGTTTTCACTGGTTTCACCCGAAGCCAGGGGCTGTGCGCAAGGCTGTGCAACAACACACACACAGACACAAACAACGCACACGCACACGCACACGCACAGGCAAACGCTCACGCACACGCACACGCACACGCATACGCAAGCACACACACACACATACACGCACACGCACACACGCACACACACACACACATACACGCACACGCACACGCACACGCATACGCACACGCACACGCACACGCATACGCACACGCAAGCACACAAACAAACACACACACACACACACACACACACACACACACACACACACACACACACACACACGCACACACACACACACACACACACACACACACGCACACGCACACGCACACGCACACGCACACGCACACGCACACGCACACGCACGCACACGCACACGCACACGCACACGCACACGCACACGCACACGCACACGCACACGCACACACACACACACACACCCACACACACACACACACGTGCGCACGCACACGAACACGCACACGCACACGCAGACACACAACGCACAGCACACACACACACACACACACACACACCAACGCACGCACACAAACACACATACACTTAATTACACGCACAAACACACACACACAACACACACAAACACACACACACACACTCAAAGCACACAAAGCGCACAGACACATCACACACAACCAAACACACACACAGACCGACGCGAGTCCTGGCCAGGCCACTCGGCCATGACATTTGTGATGTCGGCTCCCTGGCTGAACCTGGACGCGCATACGCCGGTGCTGGGCTCAGTCTTCGCCTGCACAAGAGCGGTGCGGATGCACAAGTTGGGGACCCCAGACCTCCGGCATGGGCCCGCGCCCCCCGCCGGCCGGCATGGCGAGGGGAAGCGCGCGTCATTGAGCCTCGCCTGCGCCCTCCCGTGCGCGGCACCCTCCAGCTCGTCACATCTCCGACTCCACTGGGTGGGGCACCCCGCCCCTCCTGAACGCGAAGCCAGGGTGCAGACAAAACCAGGAGTCTCAGGGAGCCCGCGAATCTGGAGGATGTACTGGGCGCCGCGTCCGCTCCAGAGCACCCCAGGACTCTCTGAGGGCGTTCAGGTACGCTATAGAACGATTCATCTTCATCCTAGGCTTAGGTTGGGCAAGTTCTCCTACACTATTTTTTTTGGTTATTTTGGAACATTCCTCCTGTAGAGGGACATGCCCGACTTAATGCCAGGCCTGCCTGGCTCGTCACTCTCATTCTCCCAGCCTCTCGGCTCGCCCAAATCACTGCCGCAATCGCGACGTTGCACCTGCTAGGCTCCGCGCGTGTGTTGTGCTCCACATGGCCAGCTCCGACACTCCGGGTACGCCATTGTCGGCTAGGGGCCTCCTGGATGGGGTCCGAGTTGATGGGGTCGGGGGATCTGGCCGCATCGTCGCTGCATCGGCGACGTCGGCGTGGATAGGATCGCGCTTCACATCGATCCTCATCGCAGAAGCTACAACATGGGCCATGTTTTTGATTCCGCCCGGCTTCCGCCAGAACAGACGGCCCAAGTGTTCCCCCGCTACAGTCTTTCTGCTTCCCGCCAGCCTCCGCCGAGGCCGAATGCGGGGCCGTTCTTGGAACGCCCTGCAGTCGGCCAGGCAGCGACGCAAGACCCTTGGACGTCCAGGCGGCCATGCACCGCACAGGTAGCCAGCCCTTGGAACCGCCTCGCGAGAGAGGCCACGGACGACCCAGAAAAGGCAAGGGGTATCCTCGGACAGCCTTCTCGGCCTGATCACGGGCGGTCACGATACCTTCGTCTGGGCGCGCAGACTTCTGGCACAGGGCCCTGGTGGAACGGGTCCTGGATCTTGGGGTTTTCCCTGGGACCCGCTTTGCAACCAGATTGGCACGAACTGTGCACGGCAGGCCATTGTCAAGGCTCGAACTTGTTTCTCCCGCAGATAAGTGAGTGGAACGCCTGAGGGAGTCGAAATCTGTTTAGAAAACCAGAAATAATTGAAAAACATAGGCTACTTCATGATTCTTTCAATATAGAGAAGGTGGACCACCCGTTGACGGTCCAAGGGCCCAGGGAGAGCCCCGGGACCCCGATCGCTGGGGAAAAGCACAAGGGCCCCCTCTCCCTTCGCACGAGGCAACCACATCATGGATCCTTGGCTCGGAGCAGCGACTGCATGCGGCCTCGAACGGGCAACCCCGCGACGGGCACGCGCTGCCTGGGCCTCCCATCAGTGTCGCCAGGTGCTCCCCTGGCCGCACCCCCACAGCGACCGCACCGACAGCTGCCCGTGGAAGTCCCGGGACATCTCGAGGGCCGTGTCCACATCCCGTGTGCCCTCTGCTCGCTAGACCCCCTCGTCTCTTGCCTCCCTTCCCCGCCCCATCTCTCTGCCCCCCCCCCTCGCTCTCACCTTCTCCCGCCCCCCTCCCCGCCTGCCCTCCCCTCCCCTCCCCCATTACCCTCCTCTCCCCCCCTCCCCCCAGAGGGGAGGGAGGGCGAGGAGGGAAATGGGGCAGGGGAGGGGGGGGGGGGAGGAGAGGGCCCTGCTGCCAGGATAGAGGGGGGAGGGGAAGGAGAGGGCCGGCCCTGCTGCCAGAGGAGAGAGGAGGGGAGGGAGGGCGAGGAGGGGGAGGGGGAAGGAGGGGGGGAGGCAGGGGAGGAGAGCTCTCCCTCCCCCGCCCCCCTCTCCTGCGCTGCGCTGCCCCCCCTCCGAGGCCCACCGACCTGCCGCCGGCACCCGCCTCCGTCGCGCGCGAGGAGCGCGCGCGCGCGGGCGGGCGGGGGCCGGCCGCTCGTGGGGGGGGGGAGGGTGTGGGGGGGGAGGGTATGGGGGGGGGGGGAGGAGGAGCAGGGAGGGAGGGGGGGAGGTGATGGAGGAGGTGGACAGGAGGGCTGACGTGGAAGAGGAGGGGGGGTGGGAGGGGGGAGGGGGGGGGAGGCGAGGCGGAGGGGGAGGCGGTAGGGGACCGAGGGGGAACTGGGCAAGGGAGGGGGGAGGAGGAGATGAAGGGAATCTCTACCGAGTTGTTTGTGCCCTCCAGTGGCTCGTGAGGCCTGCAGATACCTCCAACCTCCAAGGAAGGAGGTGGCAGGTAAGGCAGGTAGGAAATAGCAGGTAGGTAGGTAAGGTAGGCAGGTAATAGCAGGAGAGGGGGAAGGCAGGTAGGAAATAGCGACGGGACAATGGGGGACGGAGGTGGAGGGCAAACAGCAACAACAGAAGCAGCGAGGGGCTCACGCAACGGCACCTCCTGCCACGGCTTGGCGTTCGTTTGGCCGAGCAGCGCTGCGCAACTGACGACGACGACGACGACGCCGACGACGAGCTTGACAGCTCTGCCCCCCTCCCCCCCGCGGCTGCCAGCCGCAGCACCCCCGCTCACCACAACGCCGCATGTGTGGTCGATGGAGACGCCGACGCGCAGCTGCCCACGCATGCGGCTGAGAACAGGGCCACCCGACTGCGACGATCCTGACGTCATGGTGGCCAAAGGTCCCCGTCGGCGTCTGAGCTGCCGTGAGGCTCCCTTCCGACGGCGACCTGAGCGTCGAGTCGCCTTCGGTTCTGTGCACGCAGTCGCTCGGAATCAAAGCCGCGGTGCGTGCTGCCCTCAGGTCGGGCCTGTCCCCCTACAGGGGGATTTTCGACTAAAAATAGGAGTACAAGACAAATGCTCCAAAATGTAAAAAAAAAATGCTCAAAAAAGAATCCCCCTGACTATTTTTGACTATTTTCGAATATCCCCCCTGTAGAGGAACAAGCCCGACTTCATGCTGCCCCCGAACATCCCGCGGCGGAGGAGCGGGCCATTGTTGCGACCGGCCGTGGGCGCGAGCCGCAGAGAAAGGCCAGAGCCGGAGCCGCTGGCTGGGGCCCGCCGTGCTGCGAGGCCCAGGCTCACGTGCGCGGCCGCCGCTGGGAGGCCGCCTTCGGAGCCGGACCCCTCCCGGAGTCCAGGCGCGCCGGTTTTCCGAGCTGCGTCCAACCGTGGCGAAAAGAATGTCAAAACATAATTTCATGCTTTCCAATCGGAGAGTAGGTTTTGAAGGTGCAATAAGGTAGAGCTAAGGTTGAAAGCCCCCCCGAAGGCCAGCAACTGTTTTCGCAACTCGCCCTCCTCTGGAGTGGCCACCCGTGCTCCTCCTGCAGCCGCCGTCGGCCCCCGCCGCCGACCTCTGCCCACGGAGGGCCTCCCTGCGCGCTGTGCGGGGGTCGCGGTGTGCGCCTGGCACCGGCCGGCTGAGGAGGGCCCGCGCGCCCGCGGCCCTGCGGGACGCGGGCCTTCCCGCGCTTCCCCGCGCGGCGCGCGACTGGCGCGCCCGCAGAGCCGGGGCGCGATGCGGAGACCTTCGAGGGTGCGATGCCAGGGCCAGGGCGCGATGCTAGGGCCAGGGCGCGAGGCGCACCCGCAGGGCCAGGGCGAGGGCGGGCTGCGAGATGGCGAGGCCATCGAGCGCCGTCGGAGTCGAACAGCGGCGAAGGGTCGCGGCAGCGGCCGCGGCGGTCCTCCATCTGAGGACACGGAGGGAGCAGCTGCCGACGAAGGGGGAGGAGGGCGGGAAAACAAAGGGCGATCTCGAGGGCGGGGGCGGGGAGGGAGCATGGGGTGGGGGCAGGGGAGGGGTGCGGAGGGGTGCGCTCGCGCCACACCTGACGTCCCATCTCTCCTTCCCGTTCCTTCCCATTGCGCTGCGCTTTCTCCATCCGCTGACGCGTGTCAACGACGACCTGGAACTCGGGCAAAAAGGCCCCACCGTGCTTTGCGCAAAGGGAAGGGGAATCTGCGCACACAGGAGGGAGGTGGCGAATGAGCAGAGGATGAGCAGGAAAAGCAAAGAGGATGATGCGGAAGGAGGAGGCGATGACGTACAGCAGCAGCAGGAACTGGACTGGAATAAGCGGGAGGAGAAGGAAGACCAGGGAACTTCGGCGGAGGGGAATGAGGGGGGCGACAACGATGACAAAGGCATCGGATCCCAACAATGGCCCACGCTAGGGCGAGAGCGACATCCTGAACGACGGGAGCAAAACGCCAATCCGAAACTGAGGCCCACGCTGCAGCGGGAGATCCGCATTGAAACGCTGGAAACAATCGAATGGTTAAAACAGGACATAGGGAAACCGACCTGTGTCAAATCCTGCGCAAGAACCAATACTCGGAGAGACCCAGCCACTTCCCGGACGGAGTCAGGGGAGAGAGGAAAGTAATCTTCATAATGGATCACTGTAAAGGAAACAGAAGGGGGAGAAGAGGCCGGCTACCCCTCCCTCCGCGCACGACCTCTCCACCAGTTCTTCCCTAGCCTCCTTTTCCCCAAGAGGTCTCTGGAGGTCCTTTGTCTCGAGGGTCATGAAGGCCTCATGAAGCCCGCGCAGAAATAACCCAGAGACCTCGGTCATCGATCCTCTTCCTCTCTCTGCTTCTGGGATAGGGGGGGCGGGGCGGGGGGGGGCGAGGAGGAGCACCGCGGGCATGGTCCGGAGGGTCGATCGGCGTCAGCAGGTCGGCCAGCTCACAGAGCACCATGACCTCGCCCGACCAGCCCAGGGCCAGGCCAGAGCGTCGCTGGATACCCGGAGATGGGGGGGATGTGAGGGGGGTCCTGGTCCTACTGCGCAACGCTCCACACCGATCCCTGCTCCACCACGCTGGCTGACCGGCACACGCGCGCGCGTGCGATGTGGTGCAATCTATGTTGTGCAGTCCATTTGGTGCAATCGATGCGTCTCAATCTATGAGCTGTGTGAAGTCCAAGGAGGGAACACTTTGTGTTGCAACCTATCTCCCTGCGTGTGCTATCTATATTGTGCAATCCATTTGGCGCATCTTATGCGGTGCTATCTCCGTTGTGAAAAATACGTGGTGCAGCATA